AGGCAGGGAGGGGAGCAGAGAAAAATGTAGAGCTCAATGAAATCAATAAAAAAAAGATTGAAAAAAGTTGGTATATCTTTTGAGTGCACATATCTTACAGGCATTTGTTTAGAATTAGCTCATTTAATTTTACATAAACTGTTTATGAAATATACTCTCATTTTATAGAAGAGGAACCAGGTTCAGAGACTGTAACTTTACCCAAAGGAAAGTGATAGTGCTAGGGTTCAGACGTCTCTTCCTCTCAAGGATGCATCTTTTTCTGCCTAAATGCACATGCAAATGAATGTGGACCATTCACTGAGAGTGTCAACTCGTGACAGTTTTCTTTGGGGAGGCTTTGAAGATGCTGAGACCATTTGTCTCCCTAGTGAGAAGGGTGTAAGTCACGTATGTCTGAGGAAGCCAGCAGAGTGGAAACATCCGAGAGAAGGCTGATAAGTGTTTGCTGGGAGTTGGGGAAGCCCCTCAAGTAGGAGAATATCTAAATTGGAGCCTGAGAGATGAAGCTCAGAGGACATGAAGTGGAGCAGAAAGAGATTCTAGATAGAAGATATTGTAAAGAACACGTTTAAAGCGAGGGAAACTATTAAAAATCAACACTGAAGTATGAGTTCTGAGTTTCACTTAAAATTGGTCTTTGGTTTTTTGAGGCAGGGTTTCTCCGTGTAGCCCTAGATGTCTTGGAATTAGCTCTCTAGACCAGGCATGTCTCGAACTCACAGAGATCCTCCTGCCCCTGCCTCCCCGAGTGCTGGGATTAAAGGCGTGTGCCACCTGGCTCACATCCATCATTTCAAGTAAGGACTTCAACCTCCAGCACCAGTCCGGGCATGTCTCATCTTTGTCAATTTCTCCTGATGATTTTGATCTCTGATTTTGAAGCTCGTGGCTATTTCTCAGCCTTTGCATATCATGGTCTATTTCAGGTTAGGAATTCCATTTTTTAGTATATGGCTAATTATTTTTGTTTGGGCAAGGCAATTCTTGAGATCTTTGCTGTTTGTCCTGGAGCTCACCACATTTTGTATCTGGCTAGAAGACTTTCAGCCCTTAAGTAAAGTGCACTTTGTGTTCATCTGAATTGTATGTGATGTTCCCTAATTTTTAAATCCACCAGGCTTTCCATTTTCCTAATCCCTAACAAATTAAAAGCCTGTTGCACTTTGTTTCTTAGCACATTCACCAGAGCTGTAGACTTTAGAAACAAATTTTACCTTGTAGCCCAGAATTTCTCCTTATGAAACGATGATGAAGAGGAAAAAAATATGTTTTTGTGTGTGAGCAACCAGACAATGAATATTTTAGACTGTGTTGGTCGTGGTGTCTCCCACACTCTATACCAATGTAGTGAGAAAGCAAGCGAATACCTCAGAGTGAGGGTGTGATTGTGTGCCAGTAAAATCAAACCCAAGAGAAGGCTGCATTTGGCTTCTAGGCAGTAATACATCCCTATCCTAAAGAGGATTATTGAAGATTACAATCATAAACAGATGTAATTTATGTTATCTTAAGTTATTCGTATTAAATAATACTTTGCATTTTCTTTTTGCTCAAACTAGTAAAATTAGATTTTGAAGAGACAGTAACCCACCTTCTTAAATTTGGCATTAACAAACTTCATATTTAAATGTGTATGATGCAGAGTCAAGTATGAGCAGAAAGACAGAGTGGGCTAAAGTGAAGTTGTGCTGTTGTGGGATTCCCCTCTGTATGCTGTGAATACGACTGATCAATTAATAAAGAAAACTGGCTTGGCCTGATAGGGCAAAAGAATAGAGGTAGGCAGGGAAAAGTAAACTGAATGCTGGGAGAAAGAAGGGTGGAGTCAGTGAGAAGCCTGCAGCCCTACCAGAGACTGACGCCAGAACTTTAGCCAGTAAGCCACAACCATGTGGCGATACACAGGTTAATAGAAATGGGTTGAATTAATATATAAGAGTTAGCCACTAAGAAGCTAGATCAATGGGCCAAGCAGTGATTTAATTAATACAGTTTCTGTGTGATTGTTTCGGTTCTGGGTAGCCAGGATGAAGAAAGAAGTGGAGAGCAGCCGGGACGACCAAGCGGCCCTCCTCCAACAGTGTGCAGTAGATGGCTCTGTGCTTTTGGGGTGATGGGCTTTTCCTCTCTTGTGATAACTTAGTCACACAAGGCTATCAGTGTAACAAGAACTATCTAGAGACCAAAAGAAATATAAGAACATGAACGTTTTGCAGGAGATGAGGGGGACCTCATGGGAGGAGCAGGGCAGCTTGCTGTTTTGTCTCATTTTGTAGTTTACATTTCTATATTATTGTGTACACACATGAGCTTGGGTACCTCTGAGGAGTTTTATCAGTCACAAGGCAGCTTGTGAATTGAGTCTCTCTGTGCCGTGTGGCTTCTGGGGATCAAACTTAGGTTCTCAGGGTGGTGACAGTTTGCTGAACTATCTCACTGGCATATACCCTATTTTTTCCACCTGGTGACTTGCTTGATGGCTACATACGGAACTTTGTACCATTGCTCACTGAACATTTTAGACAGTGTTCAAGTCTAGTGTCTATGGAAACCTGATTTAAATTTAACTGTCACCCTGCAGTGATTTTACATGCCTTGTGGGCCCCAACTACCCTGGAACTTAGCTGATATAGAAGCTGTTTCCTGGCCTTGTGGACCATTAAGTAGTTGAAACGATTTTATGTGTGTAGTAGGCTTAATACAAAATATTTAACATAAAAATATAAATTATTTTAATGTTATTTATATCCATTTTATTCTGCATGCTTGAAAAAATAACTTATCTAAATCCTTGCCTCTTAGTTAATAAATTATTATGACACAAACTTAATTGCTTATTAAAAACAGGTTCCATCCCACCACCCCTACTGGTATTCTTTAACTTTATGCCTTCTTTAAGATCTAACCCTTAATACTTCTTGAAAAAAGATGTTCTAGTATTTCTTACTCTGTTTTGCCTTCCTCTGAAGGCTCTTGTTTGTCTCTTTTAAAAATAACCCCTCATTGCACCAAAACACACTTCAAAAAAGGCTCTTCATATAGAGCCAGGGTCATCTGACTTGGCATATGTGTTTTCTTTTTTTTTTTTTTTTTTAAGATTTTTATTTTTGGTTTTTTGAAATAGGGTTTCTCTGTGTAGCTTGGGCTGTCCTGAAACTTGCTATGTGTAGATCACGCTGGCTTTGAACTTAGATATCCACCTGCCTTTGCCTGCTGAGTGCTGGATGTAAAGGCATGCACCACCACGCCTGGCTTTAAGATTTCTTTTTTAAATTATGTTTGTGGGGAGGGGGTCTATGCAGGTGAGCGTAGGAACCTGAGGCGTATGATTCCTGGGAGCTAGAGTTGTGAGCTGCTGACATGGGTCCTGCAAGAACAGTGAGGGCTCTTAACCGCTGAGTCAGATTTCCAGCTCCTAGTATTGTCATCATCATATTCTTCTTATTATTATTCTTATTTCATTGTATTGTGATTGGTTTCTCTTGGTTTTATAGGTTTCTTAAAATTTTTGTTGCTCTCTTGATACACAAAATGATCTTTGAAGATCTAGTGTCTATAGGGATAATCTATAAGATAGACAGACGAGCCACACAGGGAGTTGACACAGGGAGAGCACTTTAACAGGAAGGTGTGAGTTAAAAGAATGACTTGCTCATAATAGTCACGTAATTATTGAAGGTGGACCAGTGTATGTTTTTACTCTACAGAGCACAAAAGTTTACCATAGCCTTCATTTGGGTATCCATTATTAACTTTCTGCCTATTTCTAATATTTTGTATTCAGAAAAGCCTCCTTGTAAAATGATGCATGCATGCTTAAATAAAAATTCAAACAATGTGGAAATGTTTTAGAATCATCCACACACAAAGTTTTCCCTTTCTTCCCAGTCTTTTGCTTAGGAACATCTGCTTATAGTATGTCCATAAAGACACATTTTTATGGTTATAATATGTGTTGGGGCTTTTGTGTATTCAGTGAGGTTTTTTCTACCCAATCTCTCTTTGAAGTTTTTCTGTTTTTTTAGGTTTCTTGCACTGAACCTAGGTAGACTTTAGAAAGTAAAGATTCATACTAAGAAGTTACTGCAGTTGCAGAAGGCACTGCATTTAGGATGGCCATTTTATCCCTGTGCCTAGCTGTCACCCTAGGCTGTTTTTTTCTGTATAGGACCTCAGGTAGCTAAGGCTAGCCTGGATCCTCCTGTGTTACATTTACAGACGCATGACGGCATTTCTGGCACATTGCTTTATTTTTTTAGACAGTTTTAAATTGTAGCTTAGACTGTACTGGAACTCACTTGGAGGCCTTGAAATTGTTGGAAATCTCCTCCTTCAGCCTCCTGAGTGCTGGAATGACTCATGAGTGAGCCCCGGGCCCGGCTTACAGCCCGATTTCTGGTTAGCATTCCAAAATCTCTGCTTTTGCAAGTTCTCCCCTTCTCGCTCTCTTTCCACCTTCCCTTCCTTTTTTCTGTATTGTTGCTGCTTTCCTTTTTCTTTTTTGTTTTTCTGCAAAGGTAAAGTCATTACACACTGTAAATAGGAAATAAAGGAAGACACAGACTTGAAGTAAGGTTGTTTGCCCCTATTATTAAGAATTCTTTCACTGCGTATTGACTGACTTTTTATCACATAATTCTCTTGTTAGGTACCTAGATTTATTAGTATTTCTACTATTAAGGTCTATTAAAATATCATGGCTAATTAATGTTAGTGTTGTGAGTTCTTTTCAACAAAAAGCTTAAAAATTAAAAGGAAAAAGAAAAGATGAATTTGCTTTCAGTTTGGTTCCAAATTTCAGAACTGGTACAGCTTGTTCAACTTCCCTGATAGCACATTTAAGCTGCTGTGTGAACTTAAAGACCTTTTCTGAGACTTGTATTATTAAGTAAATTGATGAGGTGTTATAGGGGAAAAGGTCATAATGGTGTCGGTTTTAATAATGTAAAGTTTATGAAATGATAAGTAATGGAATTTTGTTTTTGTTTCTTAATCAGTGACTTTTTTGAACGAACCATTCTGTGCAACAGCCTTGTGTGGAGTTGTGCAGTGACGGGCAGACCTGGACTGACCTATCAGGAAGCACTTGAATCAGAAAAAAGAGCAAGACAGAATCTTCAGAGCTTCCCAGAGCCACTAATTATTCCAGTTTTATACTTGACCAACCTCACCCATCGCTCACGCTTACATGAGATTTGTGATGATATCTTTGCATATATCAAGGACCGATATTTTGTTGAAGAAACTGTGGAAGTCATTAGGAACAATGGTACAAGGTAAAGTATTTTTAATTTTTCCTATTGATAAGCACAGATTGCTCAAAAGTTAAATTATCACCAGGTGTGATGCTACATGCCTCTAATATCAGCATTTGGAAAGTTAAGGCAGGAATATTATGGGTCTGAGTTAGCCTGGGCAGCATAACAAGCTTGTCTTAAAACAACTCACCCCCACAGATGAAATATGGAAATCTTTCTTTTGCGTTTTTTAGCTACCCTGTTAGCCTACAGATAGATTGTCCTGTGATAGTTACTTTTTACATATCTTTCCATGTGTGTACCACCAAAAATATGTGTATGTCTATGTATCTGTACATATAATAGGTAATATTTTTTAGGTTATATTGCTATGTAAACCACCTTCTCTTTAACTTAATATAAAGTAAACCCTATTACATGGACACTACTCCATATTCAAAAAGCCTAAAATAATGATAGCCACCATAATCCTCATACTAAACAATAGTTTAAATATACTTGTATGTTTTGATGGTTTTCAATATTTTATTTAACAAAACTAGAACTGTGTTGTACATACTCCACTTTTTTGTATGTTTCTGTCCCTTAAAAAAACAAATACATTTTCACATACCTTTATTGAGAACCTAGCACCCACAAAGCCCTTGATTTGCTCCCCAGCACTCCGTCACTATTTGTGGTGGTGTGAGCCTATACTCTCAGCACTCCTGTATCCTGTAAGGTAGAAGCAGAGGATTAGAAGTCTGAAGACTGGAAAGATGACTTAGGGGTTGAGAGCACTTCCATGCGTCCTGAGTCCAGTTCCCAGCCACTGTGGTGGCCCCCGTGCTAGCAGAACACTATACTTAATAAATAATTCTTTGGAGGAAACAAAAGTTCAAGGTTGTTCTTTGCTAGTTTAAGCTGGAGGAGACCTTATCTCAGTACCTAAGTAGACTAAAGAGAAGCAGAGTCAGGCAGACCTGAGTTCAAGGACAGCCTGGATCTATAAAGAGAGTTCCAGGAGAGCCAGGGCTGTTACACAGAGAAACTCTGTCTCAAATCCTGCTTCCTCAACTACCAACAAAAAAAACGGGTGGGGGGAGGCCGAGTGAGCTTAGTTGGTAACGTGCCGGCCTTACAGGCATGAGGGAGGACCTGAGTTCCATCCCTTAGAACCCATGGTGGCATGGGCTTAAAGTCCCAGCCAGAAAGGGGTGTGTAACAAGCAGATTCCTGGCTTGTTGTCCAACCAGTGTAGCCTATTGGACAAGTACCAGGCCAATGAGAGACACTGTCTGAAAGAACAAAGTGGATACCATCTGAGCAATGGCAACTGAAGCTGTCCTTTGGCCTCCATCCTCATGCATGCCCACCTGTGCCCACAGGTGCAGGTGTACACATACATGAGCTTAATAAGGGCTCATGCCTGTAATTCCAGCGCTTGGAAAATGGAGGTTAGGAGGACTGCTGTGAGCCCTAGCCAGCCTGGACTGTGTTGTGAGTTCCGGGTCAGCCTGAACTGCAGACTAAGACTGCCTCAAAAACAAACAAACAAACAAACAGAAAACAGCAAAGGAGGCCAGTTGGAGAAGTGATGGAAGTCTTATTTTAACAAGCATTAGGTATGCCTTAAGTAGAGAAGGGAATCTTAAGCCAGTGGTAGGGATATTTAAATTTTTTAATTACTATTTGTTTCTTTGTTTTATTTATTGTGCATATGTGTGTATACATGTACACACCAGGCCCAAAGGCAATCTTTTGTGTTGGTTCTCTCCTTTGACTATAATACATGTCTTGAGGTTCAAACTCGGGTCCTCAGGCTTGGCAGCAGGTGCCTTTAGCCGCTGAGCCATCTCCCTGCCTCTCTGTTTTTTCTTTTCTAAAAATCCACCATAGTTCTCTATGGGGTGTGAAGTAACTGCTCTACTTTATATGCATGCTGTGCTCTTTCTTTGTGCCAGATGTTGATTTGGGCTATTGATGTAGCAGTGAACAGTTCCCCCATTCATCAGGCAAACATGTATGTTGCTTCTCGAGGTGCCAGACATGGTCCCTGCCTCAGGGCCTTTGTACTCTTTCAACCTGAAAATTTCCCCATATTATCAAAATGGTGAACTCTTTACTTTTCTCCATGTTTTTCCTCACAATCACTCTCTTATTGGAGCTTTTTCTCTTTCCTCCTGAAATTCAGCAATTCTTTGTTCCAACACTTTAGGATTTGGTCTTTTGGATGCTTGCCAAACCAAATGGTAGCTCAGCATTTAACCCAATTGTGTAGATACTTTGCTCCCCCTCTGCCTTTATTTTTCTTCCCTCTCCTCTCCTCTCCTATTCTCTCCTCCTCTCCTTCCTCCTTCTTTCTCTCCCCCTCTTTCTTTTGTTTGTTATGTTTGGAAGAGATATCTTAATTTCCAGCATGTTAAGTTCTTCGTTATATTGTTGTAAATGTGTTTGTTTCAGGTTTTGTTCATTCTTAAATGAGCCATATGGTTTCTGTCTTCTTTCTTTGAATAGGGCTACTGTTACTGTTCAAACCATTATAACTTGGAATCGGATTCCCTCTTGCATCCCTGAAAGACTTGAAAGCAGATGCTTAACCCCAGTGCAGTGAATCACAAGTCATACTTTCCTATTACTCTTTAAAAAAAAAAAAAGGAAGAAATATTGTGCATTAGGGCAGAATCACAGCTTCCTCAAATGAAGTAAAGAATGGCTGCCAGTGTGGCGTGATGGGACACACTTGTAATCCCAGCCCTGAAAAGGCTGAGGCAGGGTGATCAGGTCAAAGCCATCCTGGGTGACATAGTGAGTCCTCCTCTAAATAAGTGAGTGAAGAAATACTATAAAATTTAGACCAAACTGAGGGAAGGTGCCTAGAGTGAGCATGTACCCATGGAAATGCTAACTGAAGAACAGATTTATTTAAGAATAAGTTAATGATTCTAGTCTGCTGGAAAATACTTTTTGTGTTTAAGGTAGCACTCTAGAAGAACAGACAGTCCCAGTCTTTGGACCACATACCTGAACTTAAAGATAACTGAAAATCCAAGATTGGGTAGAAGGTCATTGCTGGTGTTTGTCCATCTGCCTTACCTCTGACTAGAATGTACACACTAGTCAAGAACCATTGACCTAAATCTCCTACTAAAATGAGAAGATTGGTGTTATGACCCTCTTACATTAGAGGATCATTTTTATTTTTGGTGCATGTGTGTGCACATACACATGTAGAGTTGGCATCAAGTGTTCGCCTTACTTGTGTGTGTATGTGCATACTTGGGCAAGTGTGTGCTTGGTTGTATGTGTTGGTGGGAGTGAGCAGAGGTTGGTGTTGGGTATCTTTCTGAAGCTTTCCGGATGGTTAGACTGGATAGCCAGGGAACTCTGGGGATTGGTAAGTATCTGCCATCCCCAGCGCTAGGATTACAAATACATTGTTTTGTCTTTTCACTGGGTGCTGAGGATCAAACTGGTAAGCATTTTATTGACTTGAGTTCATTTCCCCAACATACGTTTCTTTGTCTACTCAAACTTGAAATATAGCAGAAGATGACTTTGAAGTTGGAATCATCCTGCCTCTTCCTCTGAAGTGCTGAGAATAATGGGCATCCACCCCTCAGGGGTTTTTGTTTTGCCTTCTTGTTGTTTAGATTTCATATGCACGAGTGTTTTGCCTGATGCATGTCGGTACTCCACTTGCATACCTGGTGCCTTTAGAAGTCAAAGATGGTTTTGATCCCCTGGGACTGGAGTTAAGGATGGCTGTGAGCCACCATGTGGGTGCTGTGAATGAAACCTGGGTCCTCAGCAAGAGCATCAAGGGCTCTTAACCATCTCTCCAACTCCTAGCTTCCAGGCTTTTGTTTGTAGGGTCTTTTTGAAGTAGATTCTTTGGGAGTTTTGTTTATTTGGTTTATAGGTTTGGGGGTATTTGTTTAGGGGTGCAGGGCCAACTTCTAGTGGCTTTTTTCCAAGATGGCCTCACACTGCCCTGCAGCATCCTGTTAGGCTGGACTGGCTGATTATCAGCCCCCTGGTCTATCTGTCTGCAGCACTGGGATTGCCCATGACAGCATAACTGGTTTTTATTTAAAAAATGTTAGCCTGGGCTGTGGGTCCTTAGGTTTGCGTGGCAGATATCCCACTGGCTGAGCTCTCTCCCCATCTCCTGGAGTTATTTTTGGTCACAGGGCTGGGTAGCTTTTGTCAATTTGTACATATAAATATTTGAATGACTGCTACAATAAGTCTAAAGAAGATACATAAACATAATTCCTGATTATAAGACTAGGGTTTGTGGGTCACTAAAAGATACAAGCTGTTTTAAAAGGCACGTAGTTAAGGTGTTGTGGAAGCTGAAAGAGTTCAGAGTAGATTAGAAAAAAACAGATGGCAGAAGGTATGTTAAAGTATGCTGACAACGCCGAGAAGGGGCCATCAGTGAATGCCATGGGTTCACGTATTCTTCCACTGCATACACTGCCATACGAGCTGAAACTGCATTTTCTTTCAATAATGTCAGACCTTTAGCTGACTGGCAGACTTCCCAGCCTAAATAATAGAGCAGATTTGGATTTGAACCAGAGTTGGATTGATATCTAGGGGTCTCTATTTAAATATGATCCCTATACTATTTGAGTTTTAAGTTTTTAAAGTTTTTTTTTTTTTTTTTTTTTTTTTTGGTTTTTCGAGACAGGGTTTCTCTGTGGTTTTGGAGCCTGTCCTGGAACTAGCTCTTGTAGACCAGGCTGGTCTCGAACTCACAGAGATCCGCCTGCCTCTGCCTCCCGAGTGCTGGGATTAAAGGCGTGCGCTTTTATATATTTCTTATATATACAACATTCTGCCTCCATGTATGCCCACACGCCAGAAGAGGGCACCAGATCTCATTACAGATGATTGTGAGCCACCATGTGGTTGCTGGGGAATTGAACTCAAGAACCTCTGGAAGAGCAGCCAGTGCTCTTGACCACTGAGCCATCTCTCCAGCCCTCGTTCTTGTTTCTTGGATGACACTAAGATGATATGCTTTTGTTTGTTTGCCTGCTTTGTTTCCTGGGTTAGACTTGAACTCATGATCCAACTATTCCTTCAGTATCCTGAGTAGCTGGGCTTAGAGGCACGTAACAGTGCCTGATACAATATGTTTTAATTAAAAAAAAAAATACTCAGGACAGTTGTTAGTTTTTACACTTATGTACTTACTTGGGAGGGGCTATGTCTCATGGAAATCAAAGGATGGCCATGGTTCTTTCCTTCCACCATGTAGATTCTGGGCATCAGACTCACATCACCAAGCTTGTGGCAGGCGCCTCTACCTGCTGAGCCGTCCTACCATTGTTTGTTTCTGGTTTTGTTCTGTTTTGAGATAGATTCTTGTTTATTTTGCTTAGACTGGCCTCAACTTACTTTACAACGCAGGCTGGCCTTGACTTTGGAGTTATTTAGAAAGTAACATGCATAATATCCATTATTTTTATCCCTTATTAATTTCTTTTATGTGAAGTAAATACTTGTAATCAGAGTTAATATTTCTTACATTTATCATTAACATCTTAAAACTGCTGTTTTGAGAGAAATACTTCACATACAGTTGTAAGATAGTAAAGGTTTTCCCAATGATATTATCTTGCAAAATGCTGATAACAGTATCACATCCAGGATATTGACATTGTACTTTGGATACAGAACATTTCTGTCCCTGTAAGCACCTGCTCCCATGCTATTCATGAACACTACATCTGCTTCTCTCGTCCCCAGAGTGAGCAAGCGTAGATCTCTTGAGGTGCAGTTCTTAGATCACGATTGTTAAGGTAGTTTTCCATTTTCTGAAACAAATACGACTTGAAGTCTATACTGCCAATGATAATTATTTCATGATTCTCTAGCTTTTTTTTTTTTTCTAGACGGGGTTTCACTGTGTAGCTCTGGCTGCCTGGCACTCACTCTGTAAGACCAGGCTGGCCTCAAACTCACAGAGATCTGCCTGCCTCTGCCTCTTGAGTGCTGGGGTTTTGGACATGCAACACCACCGCCCACCCTCCAGCTCTTTTTATACCTCAATCTTTGGATTCTTTGGAACCAAGAAATAGTAGCAATAGATTTGAAAGACAGAAGCTAAGTTTCTGAGGAATCTATTAGACTCTGATTTGGCATTTTGAGTAACGGTCATTGAGCCAAGCGAGGCCTAGCCATGATAAGCTTGGGAAGGAGTGGTGCCTGTGGTTTGGGTGTGACACATAGCTAATGCAGTTGCTATAGTTAATATGTATCACGTTCTAGGCAGTGTCTCAATACTGCACAGGTTTCCTTCCTCCCAGTTCCTCTGTAAGGGAATTACTGTTCTTTCTTTGGTTTTAAGTAGATGAGTACCTCAAATTCTTGCCGTCCATGGTTCCTGTTGCAGTCAGACTCTTCCCTCTGACAACTGTAAGATTATTTTTAGACTCTGCACCATATGGACCTCGGGGCTCAGTAGACCTGGCTTTTCCTCTCGTGACCGTCACCATCAGTATCAGTAATGCCTGGGCTCTGCCGGTGCAGAGTGTCACTGTCAGAGTCCCCAGAAAGCTTCCTCATTGCCTTAGAAGACTGGGTAATGTGATTCCTGGGTATGAGATTTAAGTCTGCAAACGTGAGTGAAAGCCGGGCAGTGGTGATGCACACCTTTAGTCCCAGCACTCAGAGGCAGAGGCAGGGGGATCTCTATGAGTTAGAGGCCAGCCTGATCTACAGAGTGTGTTCTATAGCCATGATTGTTTCACAGAGAAACTTTGTCTCGAAGGAAAAAAAAAAAAACCAGATAAGAAAGATCTGGCACTAGCTAGATCCTGCCTAAAAGAGAAAATAAACAAACAAACAAACAAATAAATAAATATCTAACCTATTTGGTTACGTCTCCAGTTTCCAGAGCCTTATCACTAAACTCCATCTACTAGACTACCTAGAAAGTTTTTAAATGTGACTTCCTGCAGTTTTTCCTCTTTAGAAACTATGTCAGCCAGTGTGAAAATCAGAATGTAGACATAAATTTATCTAGCATTTAGGTATTTAGACAGCATTTCGACTTGCTGACAGTGTAGGTATGTTCATTGAAAACAGTAACACAGGTTTCTTTTTTGTTGTGTAAAACAAGCTTTACCATTTTAATCATTTTTGATTGTGAAATCCTGTGGCATTCACAGTGTTGTATAACTATCATCACTATTTCTAGAACATTTTCATCATTCCAAACAGAAACTCTGTACTCGTTAGGCAATAACTTCCGATTCTACCCTCCCCCAGCCCCTGGTAACCTTTATTCGACTTTGTCTGTATAAACTTAACTTATTCTGTGTACTTCATAAAAGCAGGCTCGAGTCTTTGTCCTTTTGTGACTTATCACACTGAATATTTTCAGGGTCCATTCATATTGTAGAATTTATTGGAACATCATTCTTTCTATGTTGTAATGTTCTGTTATGTTTATATAACCACAGTTTGTTTATCCATTCATCTGTGAGTGGACATGTTGGTTGATTCCATGTTTGGTCTATTAGAAACATTGGTGTTCAAGTATCTAAATACTTGTTTTTATTTATTTTTTTAGTTTTTGGTTTTTTGAAGTAGGGTTTCTCAACAGCCCTGACTGTCCTGGAACTCACTTTGTAGACCAGGCTGGCCTTGATTTTCGTATTCTGGAAACTAATATACATGGAGTCCTACATTGTGTTGTATTTTATGCCTGGCCTTTTCTTTTAGCATAATGTTTTCAAGATTTGTCTGTACCGTATACACCAGTGTGCAGTTCCTTTTGAGACAGACTGTATGTATGGAACTCAGACTGGGATTAAACTTAAAGTTTCCTGTGCTTCTGCTTCCTAGTGATGGGATCATGGGCACATGCCTCCATGTCCACTTTGTCCCCCTATAATATTCCATTATATTGGATATTTAACAACAAATTTTAGTTGTTTTGCAATTGATGGACATATGAATCATTTCTATTTTTGGATATTATGAATAGTGGACATGTGTGTACAAGTGCTTCTTTTTTATTTCTTTTTTTTTTAGATTTTATTTATTATGTATACAGTGTTCTGCCTGCAGGTAGACATGCAGGCCAGAAGAGGGCATCAGACCATCATTACAGATGGTTGTGAGCCACCATATGGTTGCTGGGAATTGAACTCAGGACCTCTGGAAGAGCAGCCAGTGCTCTTAACCACTGAGCCAACTCTCCAGCCCCTTTTTATTTCTCATGACATTGTGTATGTGTCTGTTTATGTCCATGTGTCCATGCCACAGTGCACATATTAATGGACAGCTTCCAGGAGTAGATACTCCATGCTGTGTGCATGCGAGGTTGAATTCAGAAAGGGAGAATATTTCAGTGAGTGAAGATATCTGGCCACGAGGGAAATGGTTTGTTTTTTTCTAATGTGTGTGTAGTTTGGGGCGGGGGTACATAAGTGAGCAGTGGAAAGTAGATTGATTTCAAAACTCAAAATGAATTTGCAGCAAGAAGGATTTTGGAAAAAGCAAGTGAAATTTTTTTCTATCAATCTTAGTTGATACAGTTCTCCAGATGAACAAATAGAATAACTATGGGAGAGGGGGCATGGAGCAGGAGGAAGAATATTTAAGAGAGCTGGTTCTCTAGGTTCTGAAGGTGAAGTTCGCACAAATGGATCACCAGAGATCAGCACCGTAGCATTGCTCGGTCCGCATTGCTCGGTCCGTATCTGAAGGCTTCTGAAACAGGAGCCTGGCTGATGGCACAGCGCTCAGTCTGGAGCTGAATGCCTGCCCGAAAACAGTGGGGTGGGTGCTGCAGGGACCAGAGCCCAGGAAATCTCTGGAGTTCTCCTCAAGGGAGAGTAGGGCATCCCAGGAAGAAGGTGAATTTACCTTCTCCTGCCTTTTGTTGAGTATAATATTCTCAGAAACTAGTTGGGTTTTGCTTCCAGCATGGATGACAAACCTTCCCACCAATCCCACTGGCTCACGCTTCTATCTTCTCTAGAAAGACCCTCAAAAACACACCCAGAAATCGTTCTTTTACTTGTCGTTTGTAGTTCTGGGGGTTGAGTCCACGGGTTTGTGTATGCTGACAAGCACTCTACCAGCTGGCCACATCCCCAGCCCAGGAATCTTATCAACTGGATTTCAAAATTAGATGGCAAGTTTTCTTTTTAGTTAAATTATTTAGTCAAGCCATAGTCTTCAAAAACAGTCCCTATTGTAGTATATGAATGACATTTGGGTTATATTAATAGTAACATGTATCTCTTTTAGACTTTATTACAACATAAGCACATTACCCATCTGACATGAAATTAAATAAATAAATACTGAGTTATTCAGAATAGCAGACTTCTGAGTGTTGTGTTATAAAATGTCAAGTGACTTGTATTTTGTGATTGTGTTCTTTTAGGCTGCAGTGTAGAATCTTGGAAGTCCTCCCTCCGTTACATCAAAATGGTTTTGCTAATGGGCACATTAGCAGTGTTGATGGAGAGACTATTATCATCAGTGACAGTGACGATCCAGAAACACAGAGCAGCTCTTTTCAACAGGGGTAAGTAGGTTGTGACTTAGTGGTCAGATTGGTGGTTGTCTATTGCAATGTTTCTCTTTCCTGCTTCTCCTTTTATAGTCATAACGTGTATGCCATCCATAAATAATACATTTCAACAACAGATGGTAGATGTTAAAATGTAAACCTGGTTAATTCTGCTTAGCTGCTTAAGAACAGTTTACTTCCTGGGTGTGACAGTCCATGCCCTTGGGAGTCCCGGCAGTTGGGAAGCAGAGGTAGGCAGATCTCTGAGTTTGAGACCAACTTGGACTGTGTAGTGAGTAGTCAGCCAAGGGCTACATAATGAGACCTTGTCTTGGAAAACCAAAACAAACAAAGCAGTTTGTTTCTTGTGCTGGAGATTGAACCTAGATCCTCATGGGAACAGGCAAGCACTTTACCTATGCCTGAGATGGCTCTTCAGCAGCAGTTTCAAGTAAGCTTCATTCTTCTGTGTTCCGCTCTGTTCCTGCAACTCCAGGCAATCTCTTATTCTTCTATTGGTCCCGTTCTTTTCCGCTTTCCAGAATGTCTCCTTTACTGACTGGCTTCTTTCACTTGAGCATATGCATTTGTATTCTTACTATAACTCTTTGATAAGAGCTTGTTTCCTTTTTGCATGGATAATATTGTATTATCTTAAATTATTAAATTTATTTACTTAGTTTATTCATGAATTTTATGTATACACCAAAAAAAAAAAAAAAAGAAAAGAAATCTGATCGCCACTACAGATGGTTGTGAGCCACCATGTGGGTGCTGGGAATTGAACTCAGGATCTCTGGAAGAGCAGCCAGTGCCCTTATCCACTAGCCATCTCTCTAGCCAACATTTATTTATTATGTTTATGTGTCAGTGCATGTGTGCTACAGCTTGCCTTTGGGGGTCATAGGATATACGGGAGCCAGTTTGTTCCCTTCCACCACATGGGTTCTGCGTGTGGAACTCAGATCACTAGGTCCTTGGGGGTGCCTTTACCTGAGTCATCTCATCAGCTACTTGTCAGTTACCTGCTGAAGGACGTTTTGTTGCTTCTGTGTGTTGGCAATTTCAAATAAACACTGATGTGAACATACATGGCAGGCTTCTGTGTAGATGTAAGCTTTTTGCATATTTGGGTAAATATCAAGGAATATGAATGCTAGACCACATAAGAATGTGTTTAGGGTTTTTGCTACTTTTTTTTTTTAATTTTGTTTTGTAGGTACATATGGTATGCATGCATGTGTGTGCAGGTGTGTATTCACATGATACTCAGAGGCCAGAGGTCGCATTCCTCCGCACATGCCATCTGCCTTATTTTTGCAGACAGGATTTCTCGTTAGGACTTGGAGCTCATTGGGCTGGTTGGGCAGAAAGCCCTGGAGAGTTGCCCTGTCTCGCCTTTCCAGCACTGTGACTACAGTTGAAGGCCTTTGAGCTTGTACAGCAAGCAGCTTACCCACTGAGCTAGCCCCATCTCCTGTATTTAGTTTCAACCATCTTCCAGTGCAGTTGTGCCTTTTTCTTTCCACCAGCAGCAAGTGAGAGGGTCTGCTCCTCAGGACTCTCACTGACCTGGGTCCTGACTGTTCTGAAGCTGGGTGGTGGTACCTCAATGCTGTCTCTATTTTCTCTTTCCTAAGCACAGCTGATGTAGAACATCTTTTCACATTTTCATCTATGTGATTTCTTTTGGAGAGGTATCTGGTCAGATCTTTTGCCCATATTTTAATTGAGTTGTACATTTTCTTGCTGTTGAGTTTTTAAGTTTGTGTATATTTTGGCTAGCGTTTCTCTTATAAATATTTTTTTCTTTTGATACAATGTGTTTGCAGTTTTAGAAATTTTTTCTTTTGAGACAGGGCTCACACTGTGTAGTTCTGGCCGTCTTTCTCACCTTCTATGTTTATGTTCTCACTTAGCAGTTTGCAAGTGATTTTGTTGCATCTTTATCAGTCCTTAATATTTTCTCTTCTAAAATTATGCCCATCCATGTAAGTATAAAGCAATACTTGTGGTTTGATTTGAATTTCTTATTATTCTTGTTTTGTTTGTTTTGAAACAGGGTTTCTCTGTGTAACATCTCTTACTGTCCTGGAACTAGCTCTTGTAAACCGGACTGGCCGCTAACTCAAAGAGATCCTCTTGCCTCTGCCACCACTGCCCGGCTAATTTGAATTTCTAATGCCAAGGTTATGAGTGTCCTCTTGTGTGTTTGTTGGTCACTTGGATGTCTTCTTTCTTTGGAGAAGTGTCCATTTATAGCCTCTGCCCATTTGTTTATTTATTTATTTTTGTTTTTTTCGTTTCCTGACTCAGTTTTGGACATCTTAGCTTTGGACATCTTCATGTTTGACTCTCTTTGTTTGATTTTTAAGACAGGATCTCACTATGTAGCCCTGGCTGGACAGGAACTTGCAGAGATCCTCCTGCATCTGCCTGCAAGTGCTGGAATTAAAAGTGTGTGCCTCCATGCACAGCTTATGCCATTATTCTTAAATAGCCCAACGCTCTTACAGAATGGCTAATTTTTTTTGTGCCAGAATTAGATCTTTATGAAGAACAAGAAAAAGTCATATTCTTGCTTAGCTTTTGACCTTTAGACATAGCATTTTTTTAAAGACAGGATCTCATAAAATCCAGAGTGGTCTCAAATTCTATATTGAAGTCAAGGATAGCTTTGAATTAATTATAAATCCTCTTGCCTTTACATCCAAAGTGCTGGATTTACAAATAGACATGCACCATTATGCCTAGCTCACAGCCTTTAATCGTCTTATAATTAGAACAAGATGGAGATAACACTAGCCTAGGCAAGAGGTAACACCATAGGTTAGAATTATTTAAATCTTAGGTATCTGTGAGCCATTTTTATTAAAGTTAACTTCCTGGTTATTATTTATAGTACTAAATAAACATTTGAACTGTGTTTTAGAAGTGGTGAGACCAATGTATGTAATTACTTGTTAGGCAGTGGGCCTAACCATTCTGTCTGTATCCAAATGCTGAAATTTATCTGTAACCACAAGCTCTCTGAAAATTGAACTAGGGAGACACTTTTGGCTAAGATAGTAACAGCAATCTGAGTAAGGTGTGTCAAGTATGGGTGAGTTTGTTCTGTTGATTTTAAGATAGTGCTTCCTCTGTTCTGGGTGACAACTGCAGATTGAAACTTTCCTCTTCCCAGAATTCTTGTTACCCTGTGTTTACTTCCTGCCTGGTCACCCCGTCTATACTTCCTGCCTGGCTACTGGCCAATCAGTGTTTATTTAAAATATAAGTGATGGGGCACAAGACCATTATCCCACACCATGTAATTTTCTTTCTTCTTCTTCTTCTTCTTCTTCTTCTTCTTCTTCTTCTTCTTCTTCTTCTTCTTCTTCTTCTTCTTCTTCTTCTTCTTCTCCTCCTCCTCCTCCTCCTCCTCCTCCTCCTCCTCCTCCTCCTCCTCCTCCTCCTCCTCTTCCCTCCTCCTCCTCCTCCTCCTCCTCCTCCTCGTCCTCTTCTTCCTCTTCTTCTTCCTCTTCTTCCTCCTCCTCCTCTTCCTCCTCCTCCTCCTCCTCCTCCTCCTCCTCCTCCTCCTCCTCCTCCTCCTCCTCCTCTTCCCTCCTCCTCCTCCTCTTCCCTCCTCTTCCCTCCTCCCAGTCTGGGTCCAAAGTTGGCATCCTCCTGCCTCTGTCTCTTGAGTACTGGAGTTACATGTATGATCTACCACACCTAACTTATTTCAAAATTTTACATTCACTGAATTCCTTTTATGTGATATAATCTAGCTGTCATGGTAACTGGACTGTTAGTTAGGGTGATGAGGTTTTTAGAGAGAGAGAGGGTTGTGTGTGTGTGTGTCACTTTGCCTCCTGACAAAGTGATTGTCTATAGGTTCTCACTGCAGCAGGCTTCTAGTGAACCTAGCTTCATCTTTTTTTGTTTTTGTTTTTCAAGACAGGGTTTCTCAGTATATAGCTTTGGTTGTCTTTGAATTAGCTCTGTAGACCAGGCTGTCGAACTCACAGAAACCCACTTTTCTCTGCCTCTCTAGTGCTGGGATTAATGGCATATACCACCATTGCCTGGCTAACTTGATGATTTCTTAAAAAATAAGTTTCATATTGAAAATGCAATACATTATTTCCAGTCTATTGAAATTTTAATTTTTCCTTTATCAACTATAAATAAATTGCTATTTGGTAGAATGTTTGTGTGTGAGAGAGAAACATTTATGTAACATATCTTGTTGTGAATAAATACAATAAACTTTCCCCAGTATCTGTGGGAAGATTTCTTCCAGGAACTCACTACCACTCTTCTTGGCTGCACATGCTCAGTCAAACTCCTGATAGGAAGTGGCACAGTGTTGCATATGCATGTATTTGTTTATAGATTTCTTATCGTTTCAAATGCTTTGAAAAGTAGGCATTATGTTGTAGTGTTTGGTACAGATGAGCATCCCCCAAACCCCTAATACTTGGGTCTTTTGAGACAGGGTCTCACTATGCAGCATAGAGCGCCTTAGGTTAGATCAGGCTGACCTCGAACTTATAATGCTCCATCTCAGCCTCCCAAGTACTGGGATTGCAGGAGTACTCCACCTCTGGCCCCACATACTTTGGAGTGGTTTATTGAATCCCCTGATATAGTGGGCTGGCTAACTGGAGCAGTGATTTAACACCATAGGTGTATCTGGTGTGAGTGTGTTACTGCACAAACAGATCTGCCCTCATCGGTTCTCTGGTAACGGAGTGGCAGGTCAGCAGCTGTGATGGAGATGAAGTTCAAGGAAATCTCTCCTCTGTGTCAACCTAGGCATGGAGCAGCAAGAGAGGGCAGCAATTAAAATGGACATTAGCTCTGTATTCTCCCAGTTTGGTAGGTTAGTTCACATAATAGGAATCGTTTTTGTTGGGCTTTGGAGACCATACTTCCTTAGAAAGAAGGAAGTTACGATGTTTACCTCAAAGGAAGCTTCTTGAAAGGCCTGCAGCAAAGCTCCATTAACACTATTGCCACCCTCTCTGACTGAATGAGTCTCTGTCTCCTCATGGTCCTGCTTCTTGTGTTAAATGTGTACACTTTTACCACAGGCTCTTCAGTTTCTTTCTTCCTCGGTTTCCCTGGAACTTGCTCTATATATATACCAGGCTGGCCTCAAAGTCAGATCCGCCTACCTCTGCCTTCCAAGGGCTTAGATTAACAGTGTGGGCCACCACCTCCAGGCATATCTCCTAGCATTTTTATTTTAATAAAATAAAAATGACTTTTGTTATTACAATTAATATCTGGTTACTGCAGGCTTTCAACTGCTGAGTGAATGGTGAATGAGTAGATACATACACTTGTAGCATTAGTGAGACGTTAGTTGGAGTGAGGATTGGCTGAACTGTTTGTCATTTGTATACATGTGCTTTAGCTAGACAAGTATTCTACCATTGACTTTACTTTTATTTGGAGACAGGATTTCACTAAATTGCCCAAAATGACCTTGACTCAATTTGTAACCTTAATCGTATGCCTTAGCCTCATGAATAACTGGGTTCACAGACTTAAACCACCAGGCCCAAGCTTGCTACTATGAAGAAAGTTAAAAGCGATTTTAAGAAACCTATTTTTTTCCCTTTTCTTTTGAAGTACCCAGGCTAGCTTGTAACTTTCTATGTAGCTAAGAATGATGTTGAATTTCTGATCCTTACGCCTCCTAGCTCCCGAGTGCTGGAATTACAGACAGCATGCCCCTCTGCCCACTTTCCCTTTATTTTTCCTCATTTCTTCCCCTCCAAGTTTTCTGACACAGAGACTGGGTATAGCTCAGTTGGTAGAATATTTACTTACTAGCATGCATGTTCAATTCCCAACCACACATAAACTGAAAGTGGTAACACATGCCTGTAATCTAACAGTGGGCAGGTGAAAGCAAGGCCAGGAGTTAAAAGTTACTCTCGACTATGGAATGAGCTCAAAGCCAGCCCAAATCATCTGAGACCCTATCTATCTGTGTATGTGTATATATACACCATTTTTTAAAAATTGGATAGCATTTCACATTGTATTAGCCAAAACACTACAAGGCATGATTGAATCTTAGGTAGGCATTTTAATTATGCATTCAGTAAAATTCCCTTGAGTGAATAAAGTAGCTGGAAATTAATAAGTAGTATTTATTATTAGCTAATACAATGTGAAACACTATCTAACTTACAAAAATGTTAGTCCAAATAAAACCACATAAGATTGTATTATAGCTGGTGTAGAGTTTATCTCCAGTCACAGTACTTGGAGGCAGAGGCAGCTTGTTCTCTGTGAGTTCAAGGCCATCTAGAGTTATAGTGAGACTCTACTTCGAAAGAAAAAAAGAAAAAGATTCTGTTACTACAGTGAACAAAGAAATGAAGTCTTAAGAATCTCATGTTGGGAAATGACTAACTGATTTGGGTCTGTCCCCTCTTCTTTTTAGGAAGAAAAAAGATGCAGTTGATCCCTTATTATTCAGGTACAAGGTGCAGCCCACTAAAAAGGAAGTGTATGAGCCTGCTATCGTAAAAGCAACGCAAATCAGGTAAAACTCAATGTTTCCTTTATAGGCATCTAAATGAGAAATAAGTAAACAAGTGGAGAATGTTGCAAATAATTGATGGTGTTTTTAAATTAAGTGTACGTTTATATATTTAAAGCAGTAATAAAATGATCCTGAGCCCCTGGTTTGAATTAGTAACTAAGTCCGAGTGGTTTCCAAGCTAATGAGTTAAGGACTTTGTTAGTAGGCTGTCTGTTACACGAAGTACAAGCGTACATCATATTTGCTGTGTTCATCTCACTGTTCTCTCTCTCTGCCACAGTGGTCCCTTCCTCTTCCCAAATAGTCCCCTTCTACTTAAGTTTCATTAATGCATGTTCCCATCTGTTAGGATTCAGCTGTCTGTACTGGCCCGACCTTGGGGTATACGTCCTCAGCTGGAGCCACTAAGAGCACCACCTGCACACATTCACTATGTTTCCTTTTAAAAGGGTCCTGCCCACCTGCCATCTCTCCCCCTTTCTGTCTGTCTGTCTCTCCCTCTTCGGTTCTGCCGCTCCTGTCCCCAGAGGCAGGTCTCCCCTCTCCCCTCCCTCCCTTTTCCCATTCACTTTTCCCCAATAAAAAGCCCCTCCCCCTGAGCTCTGTCGCATGGCATCTCTGTCTCACATGCTGGTTTTTCTAAATTACACCACCGTTGATAGTACATATGGGCCCTTTCCCCCATGTTCACTAGTGTTTGTTTTGTTTTGGGGGGGTGGTGGTTGTTTTTGCTTGGGGAACAGGGTCCCACTGTGTAGTTGTGGCAGGCCTGAAACTCCTTATGGAAACCAACCTGATCTTGCACGCAAACTCGGAGATCTGCCTGCCTGTGCTTAAAGAGTGTAGCACCACAACTGCCCGTGCATTCTGTTTTCAAACACTTACTTATAATTATGGGGGGGTGCACATGACTGTGGGTGCTCATGGGTACCAGAGGTGTTAGATCACCCTGAAACTGGAGTTACAGGCAGCTGTGTGCCACTTGATCTGAGTACTGGGGACCAAACCTTGGCCCCAGCAAGAACAGCACATTTCCTTAACCACTGAACCCTCTCTCTCCAGCCCGTTTTTGCTTTGTTTTGCTTTCTTGATGGTAGCAATATTTTCTTGGATGAATAGAACCTTGATGTAGTTTTAATACGCATTGTCATGATGGCCAAGGATGTTGAACATTTTTTCATGTTTATTGACCATTTGTATTTCTTCAAGAACTGTTTAATTCAGTGACTTGTGTATTGTATGTTGTATTTTTTAGTTTGTATAGGGGTGTAGGTGTGGGGGTGTGCACTTGTATGTATGTGGAGGCCAGAAGTCAACTTAGGGTGTCATTCCTCAGAAGCCTTTTCTACTCTTGCTTTTTAAGATTGTAATTACAGCATTTCTTCCTTCCCTTCCCCCTTCTCCCTCCAAACATACCTCCCGTACACCACTCTCCACTGTTCTTCAAATTAATGGCCTCTTTTTTCTACTAATTTATATTCCTAAATATAACTTTGTTGAATCCATATAATGTTACTTGTATGTATATGTTCAAGACTGACGATTTGGCATTGAACAACCAGTTGGTGTGATCTTTCCTGATTTATTCATCTGTCAGTAGTTCTTTATTGTGTGTGTGTGTGCGCGCGCGCGCGCGCACGCTAAAGTTCTTAGGCACTGAAGACCTGCTTGGGCAGGAGGATTCTTGTCCCAAAGAGTCAGTGGGGGAAGAGAGGGAGGAGACAGGATGAATTGGGATGTCTGTGAGCAGCTTTAATTGAAAAGAGACTACACTTTTTGTTTTGTTTTGTTTTGTTTTTTGTTTTTCGAGACAGGGTTTCTCTGTAGCTTTGGAGCCTGTCCTGGAACTAGCTCTGTAGACCAGGCTGGTCTCGAACTCACAGAGATCCACCTGCCTCTGCCTCCCGAGTGCTGGGATTAAAGGCATGCGCCACCATCGCCGCAGGCTGAGACTACACTTTTTATACTGTATAGTTAAATAGGTTTAAAAGGGAGACAGGCTTGTGAGCTGGTGTGGCTTGAGGTCAGTAGTTGAGGAAGCTGGCCTTGACCTTGACAAAGAAAGAGCCACAAGTTCCTCTTGCTAAAGATGAGGGGAAAGACTGCCTTACCAAGCAGGTACTTTCCTCAAGCCTCCAAGGGAATGGAGACACTATCCTCCAGTTTCTTAGTCTTACTATATGGACCTCTCCCAAAAGGGAAGGTCCTTATGTCTCGTTCTTTTCCCTTCTGATTTCTGTGTATTTATTAACCGAACTCTTGCCGTTAATGGCCTCAGGCTCGGGATCTGAATTGTAGGCTTTTCATCCCTGGGATCAGAGGCATCTAGTAAATCTCCAACATTCTTGTTCTTGGTGTAATTAGGAGGGTACGATGGAATTTCTGGTTCTGTGGGGTTGTTTTTTCCCCCAAAGAATTATTTTGTTTAGAGAGGCTACCATTGTACACATTTTTTATAATTTATTTTTAATTGCATTGGTGTTTTGACTGCATGTATGTCTGTTTGAGGGTGTCAGATCTTGGAGTTACAGTTGTTAGCTGCCATATGGTCTAGAAGAGCAGTGTGCTCTTGACCCCGAGCCATTTCTCCAGCCCCCTTTGTACACATTTTTATTCTTTACCAAAGTCCCTACAAAATTTCTCAAAAGGAAAGGCATTAATATTGAGAATGATTAAAAATGAAAGTGAAAAGGTGCTGGAGAAGTGTGGTCTGTGATGTCGAAATACTGGAGCTTTGTCAAGCAGCACTGCTCGCCTGTGCCTGCGGCCTGTGCCACGCAGTTGTGGGGGGGGAGGGTCAGGGAGTGGTTCTTTCTTACCACCGTGTTGGTTCTGGGAATCAAACTTGGGTTGTTATGCTTGGTTTTGAGCGCTTTTACGTGATCCAAAGGAAAATTAAAATTGTTTGCTTGAAACTTAATTCTCTTTAATTTTTATCTCTCTAATTATTTGACTGTTGTATGAGGTTTAAATACAAAGGGCTTTAAATTTTGTTAGGATCGCTATTCAGTTTTGCTTTATCCATGTGAATTATTGATTAGTTGATGTTATGTCTTAACTAATCATTTTTGTTTTAATTTTTCTGTCAGTTTTGATTTTGTTTTGTTTTGTTTTGTTTTTAGAGACAGGATTTCTCTGTAGTTTTGAAGCCTGTTCTGGAACTCACTCTGTAGACCAGGCTGGCCTCCAGCTCAGAGATCCACCTGTCTGCCTCCCGAATGCTAGGAGTAAAGGTGTGCACCACCATCACCCAGCTTCAATTTATTTATTTTTTCCTTTTCTTGTTGTTTTTTTAAGGCATTTTAGTTTTTGTGCGTTGATATTTTGCCTGCATGTGTGTGTGAGGGTGCCAGATCCACTGGAACTGTAGTTACAGACAGTTGTGTGCTGCTGTGTAGGTATTGGGAATTGAACCTAGAACCTCTGAAAGAGCAGTCAGTGAGTGCTCTTACAATCTTAATTTTTAAAATAATAAAATTTTCCTACTTTCTTGTGTTTTTTTTTTTATTTTGATTTTCGTTTTGTTTTGTTTTATTTTTCGAGATGGTTTCTCTGTAGCTTTGGAGCCTGTCCTGGAACTAGCTCTTGTAGACCAGGCTGGCCTCGAACTTACAGAGATCTGCCTGCCTCTGCCACTCGAGTTCTGGGATTAAAAGCGTGCTCCACCACTGTCCGGCCTTATTTGTATTTTTAAACAACAAATACATACAATGTTTTTGTAGTAGGCTTTATAATTGATACGCTCAGGTTTTCTAAGTTCTGGCATATTCCCTGTCTGTAGAGTTTCTAATAAGGTCTACTAAGTTCCTTTAGAGGATGAGTATTCTCCCCTGTGTAAGTCCTTTCCTGGGCTTAAACGTCATGTTTTAACTTGAAGTAAAGATGAATGGACTTAGGGTGAAGTGTGTGACTCCACAGTCCACACTGCAGCTTTCAGGACAAGGCTGTTCTGTTTTTTTTTTTTTTTCTTTGCTTTGTTTTGTTTGATGTTTGGTTTTTCTTTTAAGTTCTTTTTTTTTGGAGGGTGGGGGAAGAGGTTGCAAAGACGAGGGCCAGTTTGAGGGACTAGGAGATACCTGGGATCGGAGTGCACGATGTGAAATCCACAAATAATCGGTAAAGGTTAAAAATTTTAAGCCTTATTTTAAATTTGTAGTGATTACGGAGTTCTAAATCACGTGTACTAATTCTACCCTTTTTCCTCCATCAGTCGAAGAAAACACCTATTTTCTCGTGATAAACTAAAGCTTTTTCTGAAGCAACACTGTGAACCACAAGATGGAATCATTAAAATTAAGGTAATGAAAATAGTGAAATTATTTATCAGGAAGAAATAAAAATAGCAATTGTATAGTGCTATAAATTCGTAATATTGCCAAAATGATATTTCAAAGATGGCTAAAATAGCTCTCATTTTATCTGAGGAACTGATTTTTAGTCCCTTTTAAATGTATTTTTGTTGAATTAAGTTTTGTTTTCAAAATTTTTAGGTGGCTCAGTTACTACCACTTTTTAATTATATAGATGGTCAGCCAAGACAGGTGAAAACAGGTGAGAACTTGAAAAGTTGCATCGTCAGTTAACTGCTTTCTAAGGGCATGAATCTGCCTTACAGAGAAGAGATGAACTCAGAATAATGCTACGTAAAAGCTGACGTAAGAGAGCTAACCACAGGCGTCCTAGACCAATACTAAGCCAGTGTATATTAGATTAGAGGGAAAATAAAGCTTTGTGTACCAGAGACTGGCCTTAAACTTCCGACCCTCCAGCCCTCTCCTACGTGCTGTGTTACAGGTGTGTCTCCATATGTGGAGTGGGGTTTGAATTTAGGGCTTCATGCGTGCTGAGCAAGCACTTAGCAACTGAACTGCATCTGCAGCCCTGAAAATCAAGATTTTAGAGACCTTCTATTGTGCATTAAATAAAAAGTCAAAAATGGTAAAATTAATTTTTTAATGTGAACTATTTAAATCATCCTGCATTCAAGAAGAAACCGCTCTGCTGCTCGTGTGGACTCTGCGTTCTCACAGGCAGGATGGCAGGAGTCCTAGTAGAGTCCAGTGTGAAATGTAATGGGCTCCTGAGTTATTAGAATGTCAGAACCAACGGTTTTAGATGCTAAAGCTTGTGTTCTACCAATAACATATACAAATTGTCTAGTAGAACTCTTCTTGGTTTGTTAATATCAACATTTTTGTAGCTTTGCTTTCCTGAAACTCTGTGAATGGCTTTTTTCTTTGAGGTAAAAAATTATAATCTGTCCATTAAACCGAATTAAATCAGGCTGGAGAGATGACTCAGGTTAAGAGCTCTGACTACTCTTCCAGAGGTCCTGAGTTCAATTCCCAGCAACCACGTGGTGGCTCACAGCCCTCTGTGATGAGATCTGGTGCCCTCTTCTGGGGTGCATGCACACACGCAGGCAGAACACTGTATACATAATAAATGTTAAAAAAAAAAAAAAACAACTTTACACTGGGCAGTGGTGGCACACGTCTTTAATCCCAGCACTTGAGAGGCAGAGACAGAGAACTCTCTGAGTTCCAGGCCAGCCTGGTCTACAGAGCAAGTTCCAAGACGGGCTCCAAAGCTACAGAAATCCCTGTCTCGAAAAACCAATACATACATACATGAATAAATAACGTAAGTCATTGTCCAGTCCTGAAAAAATAATCCAGATGTTCAGTAGTTGGAAGATGGCTGAGACAGATTTACTGCGAGCTAGGTGGAAGTAATCCTACTGAGAAGACTGAGGCAGAGGAATTACACATGGGAGATTAATCTGGAATGTATTGAAGCATTATATTATGTTTTATATGCTAAGCAAAAACAAAATACAGGGGTTTTTTAAATGTCAAGTGCATGACTTGAATATAGCCAGGAATGGTGGGTGCATGCCTGTAATTTCAGCACTCGGGAGGGAGAGGCAGGCTAATGCCTGAATTCAAGACCAACCTAGTTTAAATAGCAAGTCAAGGCTAATTAGAGGTCCATAGTGAATAAAAACCAGAAAAGCTGAGGCAAAGCAGATTCAAACAAAACAGTGCCCTATAGAGATGGTTCATTGTTAAGAGCTAATTACTGCTCTTGCAGAGGACCTGAGTTTGGTTCCCAGAATGCACACTGGGTATTTACAACTAACTGCCTAACTCCAGCTCCAGGGGGATCCAGTGAGGTACCTGCCCTCAAAGGTACACACACACACACACACACACACACACACACACACACACACCAGTATTAAAAATTAATATAAAAGCCAGATTATATTGAAATAGTTTTTAGTATTGAAAAATCTGTAGAAACTTTATTGATCTTTTCTGGTATGGTGGTTTGGTTTTGTTAGACTGAGTCTCACGTAGGTGGACCTTATTCTACTCAGCCAAGAATGACCTTGAACTGATCCCCTTGTCCTACCTTGCAAATGCTGGATTACAGGCTCGCGTCACAGTATTCAGTTCATGGTGAACTTTAGTTTCCTTTCTGGTTGGTATCTCTCTGCTGAACTATTTAAAGTAAAAGAGACTACATAAATCAGCTACATAATGGCTTAATTTTTAACAGCATTCATAGTGGTCATATGACATTTGAGCATGCTGCATACAGTCCACTGATGTGTTGTTCCTATACCCTGTGTGTTTTTAATGAAGGCATCATCTCTTTCAACATACAACATAGCAGAGCAAGATTTTTCTTATTTCTTCCCTGATGATCCACCTACATTTATCTTCAGTCCTGCTAACAGACGAAGAGGAAGACCTCCCAAACGATTATATCTTGGTCAGGTAGGTGAGAAAAGGCCAAATGACCCTTCAGCTGTTAATAAAGCATACTTATACAATCAAGGACATGCTTGGTTCCTGTTACACCTGTACTCTGTAAGATGACTGTTTACTTCCTATGAGAAAATTTGAGTGGATGCCTTTTGTTTGTTTGTTTGTTTTTTTGTTGTTGTTTTTGTTTTTCGAGACAGGGTTTCTCTGTGGCTTTGGAGCCTGTCCTGGAACTAGCTCAGTAGACCAGGCTGGCCTCGAACTCACAGAGATCCGCCTGCCTCTGCCTCCTGAGTGCTGGGATTACAGGTGTGCACCACCACCACCCGGCTGCACGTATGCTTTCTTGACAACTGCTCAGCATTAAGATTTGTGAAGTTTCCAGTGTGGATTAAACATTCCCAGGAGACAGATTTTTATACCAAGGTAGGAAAAAGTGTACAGGCAATTACTAGGGAAAAACAAATGGGATGAAAAACTCAGGAAATAAGCTGTAAGATTGAAATATCCAGAGCAATTCTGACTAGAGGCTGTGATGAAGTAGTGCTTTACAAGCCAGCTTCTGCTGCCTCTGATGCTCGTCTGAGGGACACGGGAGGTGTAGCTACCCTTGTCACTCTTCCCATACTTTCTCTGTCCTTGGGGGTGAAAACTTTCTTCAGATAACCTTCAACATACTGGTTCAGTTGTAATTATCTTTCTCAGTGTTTGCAATTTCCACTTTGGGATCTAGCCCAATTTTGAGATTTGAAAGGTATCTCTTAGAATATTGAACTTCATTTTTTTTTTAAGAATATTGAACTTTAGCTGTTAAAACAGTTCTCATATTTTACTTCTTAAGATCTGACTTCCTAGACTTCTTAAGATCTGACTTTCCATGAGGAAAGGGACCAGGTCTGTCTTGTTTATCCACTGTGATTTAGCACTGGCCTAGTGCATAGCAGGTACTCAAATAGTAAATGAATTGTATGCTTTGTTAGGTTACAGTGTAAAGCAATACGTGCACATTAGGAAACGGGTGTGGTGCAAGGGAAGGAGAGAGGCAGGGTGATCACAGCAAGTCCAAGGCAGCTCGGCTTGTATGGGAACTTCCAGGCCAGCAAAGGAGCTACAGAGCAAGAATCCTGTTCCAAAATGAAATAAAAATTTGGTATTGCTTAATATTGACCAATCGTTCTGATATGTCTTTCGTATTTGATGTTTGTATCATCTAGTTTATAAAGTAATCTTAAGAATGTTTCTAATATATATTTTTTAGCTCTTGAAATATATATTTTCAGTTATTTTTCTAATTCATGTAAGTTTTGGAATTGACTCATGTTGTAGATATTACTACGATTAGAATTATTAAATGTGCATTTATAGCAGATTCAGAATTCATTTTAGTATTTTGAAAAGGTATAACTGGCCAAGTGGTAGCAGCACACACATTTAATCCCAGCACTTGGGAGGTAGAAGCAGGTGAATCTGTGAGTTCCAGGATAGTCGGGGTTGTTACACAGAAAAACCCTGTCTCAAAAAAAGAAAGAAAGAAAGAAAGAAAGAAAGAAAGAAAGAAAGAAAGAAAGAAAGAAAGAAAAGGTATGTTTTGTTTTGTTTTGTTTGTTGCTGTGCATCGGATCCCAGGGTTTGGGTCGCTATGTGTTAGGCAGGACTCTACCACAGTGGTGCACCCACAAGTCCTGGTGGGGGCTTTTAGGAGAACGTGTGATTTACCACTTGTTTCTTGGTTTATTTTTTAGGAAGACCACATTGTTAGTAAACAGACTATTACAGGTTGTCGGAGCAAAGCCACTAAAGAAAGAGACAAGCTTTTGAAACAAGAAGAAATGAAGGCACTAGGTGAGTTTTAACATTCTCCTAAACCCTATTTAAGGACTATTTCTCTGGGCCCAAGTGAGAAATATTTCTGAATGATATATCTATCTTTTTTTAGTTTTAGAATTATAAGCCTCCTCCCTCCAGATAACTGCCATTTTTTTTTCTAAATGAGACTTAACATCTTTTCAAATATACCATATTCCCAAGTAGACTGCTTAAAGCTAAGTTGAGCTAAAGTGATTTCAGGATTTAGAAGCTGCTGGAGGTCATTATATCTGAGTTCTCTATATATAGCCTTTACAAGACTGCCTCCCAGGAGAGTTCTAGATGACTCCATTGGGATTGGGAGGGGGTGTGGTTCCGTATCCTAACAAGTGGAGTATTTGATTGTCGTTCTTTGTATATGTTCTAGTGTCTTTGCTTTCAAACGCAGGATACGTTTGTTCTGGTGTGGGTAACTTATTGTTTAATCCATTATCTACTAGCCCTCTAGCTCTTCAAGAACTTGAGTCTCCACTAATTTCATTTAACCTAAAACCTAAATTAGATTTTTAAAAAAAGGGCCAAATGTCTGTTTTTGTCTGTGTACAGTTTTAAATTTGACCTCCCCACAGCTTTTGAAAAGGCTAAATTAAAGCGAGAAAAAGCAGACGCTTTGGAAGCAAGAAAAAAAGAAAAGGAAGATAAGGAGAAAAAGAGGGAAGAACTGAAGAAAATTGTAGAAGAAGAGCGACTAAAGAAAAAAGAAGAAAAGGAGCGACTTAAAATAGAGAGAGAAAAGGTATTCTCTGGCGTCTGCCTAAGATGTAATTCTTACCTGTAATATAAATTTGCATATTTAAGTGCATGGCTGATTTTTTTTAAATTAAATGTTTTTACCATCTTCATTCACATTTCTTCTGAGTCTGTGCATAGAACACTGATTTAAAAAGTTGTTTATCTCTGTTTTGCATCAGAAAATGTAATGACTGTTTTAAGGGTCACACATTCCTGTCTACTTGGCACTTCACAGTCATTTGCAGTCATCTGTGTGTAATTACAGTTCCAGAGGATTTTGTTTGCTTGTTTTTGAGACATGTAGCCTAGGCTAGCTCCACATTTGCTCAGTGCCAAGGACAACCTTGAATTCCTGCCAGTACCCCCAGGTACTGGAATTACAAATGTATGCCACCAAGCCTTGTTTTATGTGGTGTTGAGGATCCAGCCCAGGATGTATGACTACTGGGCAACTACTAGCCGAACTTCCCGGCTTCAGTGTTTATTAGCTGTTCTCGGGTCCTGTTGATACTGACTAATAAATGTCTTCTAATAATTTCTATTAACCTTTTTTGTTAGGAAAGAGAGAAATTGCGTGAAGAAAAGAGAAAATACATGGAATACTTAAAGCAGTGGAGCAAACCCAGGGAAGATATGGAATGTGATGACCTTAAGGTATGAGCGTGCGGTGTCTGACACAGATGTGTTTAGTTTGTTCTGTGCGGCTTTGCTGCCAAAATGCTTGGTTGAGCTGAGCATGGTGATGCATGCATTTAATCCAGCCATAGGGAGTCAGAGGCAGGTGGGTACATTTCTGTGATTTTGGGGCCAGCCTGGTCTACATACTGAAACACTATCTCAGAAAAAAAATTATATAATTTTTTTAAGATTTATTTATTATGTATACAGTATTCTACCTACATATATCCTTTAGGCCAGAAGAGAGCACCAGATCTCATTACAGATGGTTGTGAGCTACCATGTGGTTGCTGGGAATTGCACTCAGGACCCCTGGAAGAGCAGTCAGTGTTCTTAACCTCTGAGCCACCTCTCCAGCCCCAGAAAAAAAAAATTTTGGCGGATTATTTTTTTCCTCAGAGTGATGGGTGTCACTGTGTAGTCCAGGCAGCCTGGGGTTCCCCTCCACCTGTGTCACTCCAGTGTAAGTAGACCCTCAGCGGAGACATACTTTTTCCTCATGTGTAACCGAAGTGAAGCAGCCTGTTGTACAGATGCTCACTCTTAGCTTTCCAGGGTTGCTGTTTTTATAGCATGATTTCACGGTGGTGGCTGTTCTACAGAAACAACTGGTTCAGTCTTTATGATATCTGACATACAATAACTACTATAGCCAGGCATGCATTTAGGTTTATTGGGGGGTAAGAGAATAATAATTATGTTTATTTTCGGAAATAATCTAAAAGAATCTAAAAATTCTCATTCACTTCAGTTTATACAGAAGCATTCTAAGTCGTAGGTAGTCAGTTGTCCTCTGTATTACCAAGGTTCACATTGGCGATACCTGCACAGTTAGTCTATCTTCAGAATCAGAGCGTGATGGAAGATCTTTTTAATAGGAGACTTGGCAGGAGACGCTTCCACCTACGGCTGTTTCTTTCAGTAGAGGAAATGCCCTTTCCTCCTAGTTCCTTCCTATGGACTGTGGTTTAGTAAAACCCAGTTCCTAACTAAGTGCGGTAAACACCGGGGGTGAGGGCCACTAGTGCACGCGGACAGCTTTACTAGGTCAAGAGTGTGTTGTTAGGCTGTGCACCCCTTTAGCTTTCCTGCACCTGGCTCGGATATTACAAGGACTGTTTAACCTTGCAGGAACTTCCGGAACCAACTCCAGTGAAAACTAGACTACCTCCTGAGATCTTTGGTGATGCGCTGATGGTTCTGGAGTTCCTTCATGCTTTTGGGGAACTCTTTGATCTTCAAGATGAGTTTCCTGAGGGAGTGTCCTTAGGCAAGTACTCAATCACCTGTTGTGCTCTACAGTTTGCCCTGCCGTTTAGAGACTCCCATGTGATCGCAGTGAGAGTGCCTAGAAGTGGGGCCATGAAGGCTTGACTGACTAGTTGTTAAGATGCCATGTGTGCAGACTTTCTTCATGGACCTCCCACTAGAAAACATAAGCCACTAGCTAGGCTGAGAACCGCTATAAACTGCCTAGAGCTCAAGGGCTGGAGAGTAGACAGCTTCTGAGTAAGGAATGGCATGTGAGAGTTTAAAGACAGATATTGTCTGCTTCTAATTTAGGACTGATTTACCTGTGTGTTTAAAAGCACTGTATAAGCATTTATAATAGAGTTCAATATAAAAAGGGGATTGAATCAAATTTTAAATTTTTATCTAATAAATATTTCTAAGGTGCATGTAGAAAGCCTCCAAGATGGAATTGCATTATCATTCTTACTTTAATAAGAGTACATTGACCAATTGGGTTTTCAGATTCTTCAGTTTCTCCTTATGGGCTAAGTTTAAGGCATGAAGCATTATGCCTTATGAATCAAGAGCATTTTAGGTAAAATAAATTAGGGAAGAAACATTTAATACCTACACAATATTAGGATTAAAACAATAATGGTAATTACCTCTCCTGTACACTGTTGGGTAAACAACATCCCACATAGCTCTCATGAACAGGGGGACCAATTTGCTTTATTTATATTTGTTTATTTTGATTTTGAGACAGTATTACTGTATAGCTCTGGCTGGCTCGGAGCTTCCTGTGTACTCAGGTAGAACAATCTGCCTTCATCTGTGGCAGTCCTGCCCCTACCTCCAAACGTTAGCAACATATATCACCACATCCGTCGAAAATTGTATGTTTTTACATGTAGTTAAGGTTGTGCTTCGGCTTTAAATTATTGGTCCAGATGTTATATTTTGGGTTTCTTAGCACACCGACTTTGACTTATTTTTCTGTATTGAAATCATAATTTATTTTGGTTTAGATAATAGGTGGATCTACTCTCATAAGCAAACATGTAGGAGAACAACATAGGCTGATGTTGGTTGATTGTTTATTATTTTCCAGTGGAGTTGTTTTTCAGTCATGACAGAACTTTAAATTCCTTTTAAACGTTTTATTCGCAGAAGTGTTAGAGGAAGCTCTTGTAGGAAATGACAGTGAAGGCCCACTGTGTGAATTGCTTTTTTTCTTCCTGACTGCAATCTTCCAGGCCATGGCTGAAGAAGAGGAGGAAGTAGCCAAAGAGCAGATAACTGATGCTGACACCAAAGGTCAGAGTTCAGAATCATTGCTCATTGAACTGGTAGCGTTGTAGTAAAACTGGATTTGATGATTATTAAATCGTGATTATTAGGAAATACAGGAATTCAGTTTATCTGATGCTAAGTCATATTATGCTAACAATGTATTATCAGTTGTCTCTAAAACTTAACATTGGTGCAACCTGCTTCTGACAGCCTTTGAGGCACTTTCCCTGAGTTGTCTTCCTTTTTGTTTCTTCTCATTCACATTTCCCCTTGTAATTTTGAAGCATCTCATTGACTGTGTTGGGAAAACTTATACTCTCATTACTACATTCAACTATAGCACTATTGCTAATTTTATTTATTGTATATCTGATGCTTTTTACACTGACATTTGGGGGAAAAGTTTTTACCTTGATAGTTTGAATAGAAATTTTGTTCTTTAAACTCTATGCTTTTAAATACCCAAGGTCCATATATAGTATGTTAACATAGCAAAGCTTTCTTTTGTAGGAAACCCTTGGAAAACATCTAGACATGCTCAGAAGTCATAAGTACTAGACTGGTCCGGCTGTCTAGCCCACTTCCATTCTCAGATGCACACTTCCTTTTACTTTCTTAATAAACTGTCTCTATTTCTACCACTTAAACAGTATGTGTGGACACGATTACCTAGTCTCACACCACCTCACAGCGGGCATGGGAGAGCACACCCACAATGCCAGCACTTGGGAGATAGAGGCAAGAGGACCAGAAGCTGCTCAGGGTCATCCTCAGCAACACACCGAACTCAACACTGATTTGCCTCCCTGAGTAATATTCTGTGGATTCTGCCACACATGAGATTATGGACTAGGAGCTTGGTTAAATAATGCTTCAGCCTGTTTTGCAAGCATCTTCCTTAGGAAGTCATCCTGGGAGGTATATCAGCAGCAGAGCGTTGGTGCACAAAGATGAGACTTCCTCCAGTCTGGTAGATTTTTTTGTCCCTGGATAGTTTGAGTTCTGTGCCTAGTGAAAGGATCAAGAAGATATTGGTAAATACGTACTAATGTCGTCTGCCTCTGCCTTTATGGTGTGGGTTGAACTGAAATGTATTCTCTAGCTTAAGGCTAATCACCATATGTTCCATATCAAGGTTGTTTTAACGGTTCCATTTTCATCTTAGGTAATAAAGTCAATCAAATGAAAATAGTCAGATAGCCATTGTGTTGTATTAGCCAGTAACATTTTATAGTTGTTGGTAACACAATACATAAAGCTGTGTTTAGTCCAGCTTTTAAGAGAGCTGTTGTTTTGCCCTTTTGGAAGCTCTAGGGCAAAAATAAAAGTGGGTCTGGCACGATAGCTTAGGTAAGTTTAGCTAGCTAAGATGAGCTTGGTTAGATGAAAACACTTGCTGTGCAGGCCTGATGAGCAGCATTGAACCCCTAGGACCCATGGAATAAACAGAACCATCGTCCAAAGAAGTTTTCCTCTGACCTCTACATGCGTGCCTGCACTCTTACACACACACACACACACACGTAATAATAAGTAAAAATTTTTTTCAAAAGGAAGTAGAATGAAAAAGAAATGGTATGGAAAAAATCTGTTAATGCAAGGAAAAAATAGAAAGCTGGTGTTTGTGTTGCCAGTTTTTTCTATTAAGGATTTGGTCTGTAATATATATATACAGTATATGAATAGACAAGAGGGAGGAATTGGGTTAGTTTGTTGTTGTTCTATTTTTATTTTATTTATTTTATTTTATGTGCATTGGTATTTTGCCATAGGTGTCAGGTACCCTCGAACAGGAGTTACAGGCAGTTGTGAGCTGTCATGTGGGTGCTGGGAATTGAATCTTGGTCCTCTGGAAGAGCAACTAGTGCTCTTAGCTGTGAGCCGTCTCTCCAACCCCTGGTCTATACTTTCCTATAGCTCTCTTCCTCAGAACAATCTCAGATACAGAAATACAATACAGAGTTGATTTTTGGATAAATGCTCGATACAAAATAAAGGTTCCATTTGAAAATATAAATGTCGGAAATTGGAAAACAGCATGGTATTTCCCCCATCTTCCCCATTGCTGTTATTACTAGTCAAGATACACAGTTCAGTGATGGCAGCTGTCCCTCCCATCTCAATAACAGAAGTTTTCTACAGGCTTTCTGAAAACAGTGAAATAGAATTAATTTCTACTAGATACAGTTCAGCCAGGTAATACTGAAAAAATTATAAAGAGGTGCTTGGAATTCTCTAGAGTGCAGTATAGTAGATCGTACAGTTTAAGAGTACATGTTGTTGAGCTGGAAAAGATGGCTCAGCAGCTAAGAGCACTGGCCGCTCTTGCAGAGGACCCTGGTCTGAATCCCATCACCCCACATAGAAGCTAACAATTGTCTGTAACTCCAGTTCCATGGGATCTGGCCCCCCTCTTCTGACTTCCTTCAGCACTTGTACATACACTAAGGTGAACATACATTCATAAATTTTTTTAAATGTAATATGTAAATATTTAATATGTAAATACATATTTCTAACATCATTTTAATGTAATACATTAAACAATCATTCTGTTAATGGTTCATTTCTTAAGGCCTCTGTAGCCTTTGTTCTGATTTCCCCTAGATAAATGGTAGACGTTGGACATGATTAATACCTTCTGAGAAGGAGATCTAGCACACTTGTGTGACTCTGTCTAGTAGTGTGGGTTATCATAGTGCCTCTAGTGTTAAATTTGTTGTGGCTTTATATATATGTATGTGAAATTCTAGGTCTTGTATTTCCCTGGTAGGAAAAATACATTGTCTGTCATTTGGGTTATGTCTAGTAGGTGTGAGCTGGGCATTTGCAGTAATTTAATCAGGGAACCCTGTGTGGTCCTGTTTATGCTTTGTGTCTTAACTTCACCAGTAGCTGTGATCAGATTTGACCCCAGAGCTGCCTTTTTTTTGGAAACATTGGCCACTTTTCATTCTCTAATGTTCATTTCATCAATCTTGAAATTTTGCTATCACATGTTAGAATATTCTGGAAGCACCGAGCCAGATGAGCTTTTGCGTCACGGTGGCGTGCAGGAGAGGTGACAGGATGGATGGGCAGAATTCTCACCTCATCTCGTTTTAGCAAGACTTCCTAGGTGGAGCTTCTAATAAATATTTCATTAGAAAACTTAGGAATGGCTTCTCTAGACCCACCCTCAGATTAACTGGCTTGTCTGAAGGATGCACACTGCTTACTGGGAGTGCTAAGACCAGAATATGGCCTGCTGCCTGGAACAGCTTGTGAACACTGTTCTGGAATACAGCAGGCAAGCATGAGGGGTATAGTTGGCACTTGGATTCTTTATCTGTGTACTGTAATTGCAAGAATTGTTTATATGATGCTTATATATTTGTACCAGTAGATTTGCTCTTTTGTTCTACTGTAAGTTAAGCAGTTTTCAAGGCTAAAGTAATTCTTTAGAAAATACAGAGAAATCGTCCCCATGTTTCTTAGATTGACAGTAAGGAAATTTTAATGAAAAGGATGAATAATTGATAGCAGTGCTGGCTTTTAAAGTTCTTTGGGCAGTTTTTTCTAGGCCTATTTTGTGATGATTACAAGCTCTGTTTTGTTATGATTCAATCTTAAGATGTTTATAAGATTGGGTTTCTTTACTCAACTTTCAAAGTAGACTTTCTAAAGTTACATTGGAAAAGGGATTTGTTTTAATTCTAAAATACATTTGCCATTTTTGGAATATGAAAGTGCATCTTGTTGGTATTTTGGAAATTGTCTCTGTGTTAGTGTAAAGTCTGTGTTCCAGGATCTGTTGTAGGTGGAGCCCGAGAGGACGGGAATGATGCTGTGGTGGGCGTTGGCTCTGCTGAGGTCCCTCAATGTTAAGCTGTTTTGCTGTTTCTTTCATCGTTTTAAAGGGCATTCTTCCCAAATATTTTTGCACTAGAATAAAGTATTTATTTCCTTAAAGATTTATCAGAGGCTTTGGATGAAGATGTAGACCCCACAAAATCTGCACTGTCTGCAGTTGCATCTTTGGCCGCTGCATGGCCACAGTTACACCAGGGTATGTGTGGGCTTCATTTTATTTTATTTTTGTTTGGCATTTTATTTTAATTTATAAAGGTATATATTACATTGCTGAATATTCATTGTTTATTTTCTGAATGACTGTTTCGTTTTTAACAATATAGGCTGCAGTTTGAAAAGCCTGGATCTTGATAGCTGCACTCTTTCTGAGATCCTCAGACTGCACATCTTAGCTTCAGGTGCTGATGTCACATCAGCAAATGCAAAGTACCGCTATCAGAAGCGAGGGGGGTTTGACGCCACAGACGATGCCTGCATGGAGCTGCGACTGAGCAACCCGAGTCTGGTGAAGAAGCTGTCTAGCACTTCTGTGTATGATTTGACACCAGGTAAGCTGCAAGTTGGAATTTTCCTAACATGGTTCCTTCCTACCCAGCTCTTTTATCCAAAGAACTAACAAGCCAACAAGAAATTCCGGGTATAGATCAGTCATTCAAGAAAATAAGAAAAAAAACAGTCCATTGTTGGTAGGATCCGTTGGTTTTGGTTTGTTTGTTTGTTTATTTTGAGGCAGGATCTCACTAGTAGCCCTGGCTGACCTTGAATTCACAAAGATCTGCCTGCCTCTGCCTCCCAGGTGTTGGCATTAAACAAATGTGCCATCACATCTGCTGCTCCTTGTTCTTTATTAGGAGCACAAGTCAGAAATTGTCAAACACTGTTTTTTTTTTTTTCTTCTCATTGATAACACAGCATTTATCTATTTTGGCAGGAGAAAAAATGAAGATACTTCATGCTCTCTGTGGGAAGCTACTGACCCTAGTTTCTACTAGGGATTTCATTGAAGATTACGTTGATGTATTACGGCAGGCCAAGCAGGAATTCCGAGAGCTCAAGGCAGAACAACACCGCAAAGAGCGAGAAGCCACAGCTGCTCGGTAAGCAGTGCCCACTCACTGGCGTGTTGAGAGCTTGTGGGGTGTTCTCAGAGCGTGGGGGTAGGTTTCCCCAGCATAGTTTGTAAAAGCATTTGGAGCACTTTCTATAGCTTCGTAAAGACACGATGCTAAGTGAAACGTATCTTTGTCAGGTGGACTGTGATCTTTTATTTGACTTTCAGAATACGTAGAAGGAAAGAAGAAAAACTTAAGGAACAAGAACAGAAAATGAAAGAGAAGCAAGAGAAACTGAAGGAGGATGAACAGCGGAATTCAGCTGCAGATCTAGGGTATGGCTTAGTTTCATGCATGTGACTTTATTTATTCACCTCATATACAATAAAAATAAAGAATAAGAATAAAAATCAGACACTTGAAACTCTAAAATGCTTTCAGAGTTTAGAAATTTAATTTTTTGTAATTATGTTAAAAAGCTTATGAAATTTATATAGAGACTCCTATCAAGAATACATGGGTTAATTTTTTTAGCCTAATTTTTGAGAATATAAGAAATCATTTTCTCTTCTCCTTTCTTCCTCCCCTCCCCTCCCCTCTCCTCCCCTCTCCTCTTCTCTTCTCTTCAAGGCAGGTGTCTCTGTAGTCCTGGTTGTCCTGGAACTCACTCTGTAGACCAGGCTGCCTCTTGAGTACCAACACCACCCCTACCTGGCACATTTTCTCTTAAAATTAATGTCGTAAATGATAACTTTCTAGAAAACTTTCAGTGGTTATTTTTCTCCCTCCACGGCCACCCCAGCACAGTGCACACTGTTTTACCGTCCTCTGTGCCTTACAGGGATTAGATTGAAAGGTTGATTTCCATCATCCTTTGCAGATATCAAGATAGCCTCAAACATGAATCTTGTGCCTCTGCTTCCCAAGTATTAAGATTAGAGGCACATGGTTGCCATGGGCAGTCTTTTGGGAAAAGGGAATGGGAAATGGCTGTTAATGAATATGAGGTTTTTCTATCAGAATAATTCAAATATTGTAGGAATCAGATAGTGTTAGTGATTGTACAATGTCTTCTTAATCACTGTTCTATTGCTGTGAGGAGACACAATGAGCAAGGTAACTGTTGCTATTTAATTGTGGGCTTGCTTCCAGTTTCAGAAGGTTAACCCGCCATTGTCATGTTGGGAAGCAGGCAGGGCATGGTCCTTGAACAGTAGCTGAGAGTTGTGGGTCCTTATTCCCAGGCAGGAGGCTTTTTGAAACTGCACCAGGCTGGTCTTTTTGAAACCTCAAAGCTTGCCTACAATGACACAAGGCCACACCTCCTAATCTTTCCCTAAACAGTCTACAGAGCAAGGGCTAGACATTCAAATGTACGAGCCTGTGGAGGCCATTCTCATTCAAAACACCACAGGCAATCTTGGAAATATGCTAAAAACATCACTAAGTTGTTCCTTTGAAATAGTGATTTTCTTTTCTTTTTTATGAGAAGAGATTTGTTTGTTTATTTTGGAGCCTAGTCTTTCTACAAAGCCTGTGTAGATCAAATCAAGCACTAGCTGCTCTTGCAGAGAGGACACAGCTTTCATCCCCAGCAGCCATTTGGTACTGCAGGCAGTCAATACGGTCTGTAACTCCAGTTCCTAGGCATGCAGCCCCCTGCTGGCCTCTACAGGTAGCAGGAGCATACATGGTACATGTACATACATGCATGCAGAACACGTGCAACTCTTCACTTTTCTTCACTGCTCTAGGACCAAGCAGGGTTTTTCTCTCCTTTTTCTCATCCATATCCTGAGACACTTTACTTTAAACTCGTTCTTTTTCCTTTCAGGGAGGAAGGAAGGGAAGATTTTGACACTAGTACGGAGAGCAAAGAAATAGATGGGAAAGATCTGGACGCTGACGTGGTTACTGAGGATGAAGATGACCCAGGATCACTGAAAAGGAGCAGAAGAGGTACAGAAGGTCATTTACTGTTTCTTAGCTAGGTCTCAATTCAGCTCACACTCACTGTGTAGCCAGAACTGACCTTGCCTCTAAATGGTGGGATTCTAAGAATATGCTGCATGAATATCTGTGTGGTGTCTAAACATCTGCCTGACAGCTCATGGTGAGCCATAAAAATGACCAGTTTGTCATCAAATGTTATAAAAACACTGTTGTATTTCTGGGATTGTTTTGTTTTGTATTTCATCAAGACATCATACTACCCCTCACTACATAGTACATAACCCAGACTTGCCTGGAACTTACTTTTTCTTTTTCTTCTCCTTTTCCTTCTCTGTGTAGCCCTGGCCATCCCGGAACTTGCTCTGTAGACCAGGCTGGCCTCGAACTCAGAGATTCTCACCTGACTCAACCTCCCAAGTGCAGCAATTGAACCACTATGCCTATCATCTATAGATCAGTGTTTCCAAACTTCAAATGTTATTTGAGGGGGTGGGGATAGTTTGAGATAGGGTCTCACTCTGTAGCTCTGGCTGACTTGGAACTCACTGTAGACTAGGCTAGCCTCACCTGTCTCTGCCTTCTGAGTAACTTTAAATTTTAGTTAGCAAGTTTTATTACCTGGTTTTACTAGTTTTTCTCTATAATATATTAAAGCAATGGGCAGGCCTACACACAAAGATCTCTTGTTGTGTTTTCACATAACTTGTTCTGTGCATGCCAGAGAGGAGGAAATCTAGTGTGTCTTATTCTTAGGACACCAGTTCTGGTCAGTAAGGCCCCAGCTTCAAATACAGCTGCAGTAAGGGGTTGGGCTTCAGTATGTGAATCAGTCCATAGCACACTAAATGGTGGCTAGCTTTGTGTCTTTGTGTTCCATCTTTCTTCTCTCTCTCTCTCTCTCTCTCTCTCTCTCTCTCTCTCTCATAACAGCAAAACCCAAAGAAATAAAATATAATGATAATGATGTATTTTATTTCAACACAGGGAAAGTGGGTCAAAATGGCGTTAAGCAGTGTATGAAGCAGGAAGAGATGAGCTGCTATACAAAGCAGGAGCCTCCTCCTGCTGACGCAGAAGAAGCTGTGCGGCAAGAGCACCAGCAGAAAGAGAAGGAACTCCTAGACAAGATCCAGAGTGCCATCGCCTGTACTAATATCTTCCCTTTGGGGCGAGACCGCCTGTACAGGCGATACTGGATTTTCCCTTCCATTCCCGGTTTGTTCATAGAAGAGGATTTTTCAGGTCTTACTGAAGACATGCTGTTGCCTAGACCTTCATCGTTTCGTCATAACGCACAGTCTCACGATCCTCAGGTTTCTGTTAAAGCTGAAGAGTCCTTCATGTCCGAATCTACCTCCAGCCTTGACCAAGGTCCATTCGATGATTCTATGCTATTGCCAAAACCAGTGCATAAGCCAAATCGGTGGTGCTTCTACAGTTCCCGGGAGCAGCTGGACCAGCTTATTGATGCTCTTAACTCAAGAGGACACAGGGAAAGTGCCTTAAAAGACACCCTTCTGCAGGAGAAGAGCAGGATATGTGCTCAGCTGGCCCACTTTTCTGAAGAGAAATTTCACTTTTCAGGTAAATTTTCATTTTGCTTTTTGGGTCAGGGTCTGCCTACGTGTCCCAAGCTCTTCTGGAACTTGTAGAACAGCACGGCTTTAAAACCCAAGAGACCCTCCTGCCTCTGCCTCCCAAGTGCCTGGCTTTCAGGTCAAATTTCAGTGAAAAGTGTTGTGGGTTTTATTTTTCTTTTTCTCTTCCTCTAATCCTAATCATTGAGGATTAAATCTATTTCAAGCTGTTACATACATATTAAGATAATGTTAGCTTTTTATTTGACCTTCTCCTAATTTGCAAATGAGTGTGGGCTTATATTTCTTCATACAGCAAAGGCTTAGAAAGTGTGTTTATTGTCTGGTTCATGAGGAACCATCCACAGTGTGAGCGGGTCTTCTCGTTCTCTGTCCAGAGACTGACTACTTGGCATTGCTATGACAAAATTCTGCACCAAACAACCGGAGGGAAAACAGCGTGAGGCTGGGGGTTGGCAGGAGCGACCGAGCATTACCATTCCCCAAACTCCACTTCATGTTTTGCTGTGCGTTTCTGCATCTGCTCCCATCAGCTGCCCCAGGAAGCCTCTCTTCTGACTGGACAAGGCACTGATCTATGAGTATAGCAAAATAACATTAGGAATCATTTCATTGACTTTTTGCCACTCGTGGTTAGCTCTGTCCTATGTCTCTGGGCCGTCCAACTTTTGGTTCCTGACCCTCCAGACAGTGTCAGGCCTGGTGACGACCTCTCCTGGAGCCAGGCCATTTTTACATTTTTCAACAGATCAGACACTCACCAATTGAAAGGATACAGTTTCGTGGTTGCCAGTGTATTGCACGGGTATGGACAGTCATCCTCACAGGACATCTTAAAACATATTTGTTGCCTCAAACAAGAATCTGGGCCAGGGAGTTAGTTCAGCAGCTAAAAGAGCATAGCTTGTGATCCCAGTGGCCTGGGTTCAGTTCCCTGACCCACACTAAAAGCCAGGTGAGTGAGTCTGCTGTACCTCTCCTGTAGCGAGGTGAGGGGCAGGACAGGGCCGTCAGCCGCTCGTTCACACACACACACACACACACACACACACACACACACACACACCGTCTAAATTACCCATTTCTGGATAGGTGTTTTGTTTGTTTCTAGACTGTCTTGGGAAATGCTGCTGTAAATATTACTTACATGTTTTTGTGGCGATGGGAGTTTTCCTTTGTGAAGTATATACCTAGGGGTAAATGACTTTTCATGTAAGAACTTTAATACTCCAGGAACTACTGGTTTGTTTCCCAAAGCAGGTACATGTTTGTTTTCCCACCCATGGTGTATGAAGGTTCTAGTTTCTCCACTTACCAGTAAATTAACTAGTTTTCTATTTCAGCCTTCGTTCAGGGTGTGAAGTCCCACTGAGGATCCATTTGTATAATTTCCTTAAATGTCTGTGAAATATTTTGCCCATTTTGTAAATGAATTATTTGTCTTTTTACATGTATTATATGTCTACTTCTGTTTGTGTGTATTTTTACGATAAGAGTTCTTTGTTCCGGATACAAGGCTGACTAGTATCAGTTTGATACAAGCTGGAGTCATCTGGGAAGAAAGCCGTAACTGAGAAAATGCCTCCATGAGATTGGCCTGTAAGGAAGTCTGTAGGGCTTTTGATTGATGATTGATAGATGTGGGAGGGCCCATCTCACTGCAGGAGGTGCCACGGCTAGGCAGGGGATCTTGGAGGATTTAAGGAATAGGTTAAGGAAATCAGGAGGAGTAGGCCAACAAGCAGCACTCTTCCATGGCTTCTGCTTCAGTTCCCACCTCCAGGTTCCTTCCTTGGGTTCCTGACCTGACTTCCTTCAGTGATGAACTGTGATTAAGCTGAAATAAACCCTTTCCTCCCCAGGCTGCTGCTGGCCATGATGTTTTATAACAGCAACAGAAACCTCAAGACAAAGACCTTTACCAAATTTATGGCTGTAACTGTTTAGGATTTATGGTGCTTTCATACTGATTATCTCACAATCATGTCATGTAATGTGTTTATGGCTGTAACTATTGAGGACTTTTGATCCTTTCATTTCAGTTGTCTCAGAATATGTCATGTTATGTGTTTATGTAGAAAATCTTAACGTAAGAGATATTTGGTTATTCCAGACAAACCTCAAGCTGATAGCAAGCCTGTTTCTTCTCGGGGACGATCTTCCAATGTATGTGACACATCACAGATGTCTGCAGAGAGGCAGCTTGAGCTGAGGCTCAGAGACTTTCTTTTGGACATTGAAGACAGAATCTATCAAGGGACATTAGGAGCAATCAAGGTTTGTCCCTCCTGATGTTTATAGCTTAACTGGTATATGTAAATATTTCTGGATGTTTTATATTATCATCAGATGTTGAATTATATAAGGATATTATCTTCCTTAACCAACTCCTGCCTTCTCTGCTTAATCATATTGGTGGATGTCCCCTAAACCCCCACTAACAGGGTCTCGTACATATTAGGTAACAACTCCAGTAAAGTGCATCTCCAGGTGTTGGTTTCTGTATCTTTGAGACATGGCCTAACACTGTGTCCTTGATTGCCTGGAACTCTCCAACTGCCGAAACTTGCAGGTTCGCACCACCCTTCCTGTTACATAGGCTGTGTTGGTGCCTTTGCCATCGTTTGTCATTTTTACTATGGCCAATTAGTCATTTATAAAGGGGCTGGATAGATGGCTCAGCACTGGCTGTTCTTCTAGAAGCCCCAGTTTAACTAGTGGTAACTCACAGCCTTCTGTAACTCCAGTCTGAGAGGATCTCTCTCACTCCTGGCCACCATGGCCATTGGACACTTAAGTGGTGCATAGACTTATATGCAGATGGAACATTTGTACATTTTTGGTTTTGTTTTTGTTTTTCAAGACAGAGTTTCTCTGTGTAGTTTTGGAGAGAACCTGTCCTGGAACTAGCTCTTCTAGACCAGGCTGGCCTCGAACTCACGATTTGCCTGCCTCTGTCTCCTGAGTGCTTGGGTTAAAGGCGTGTGCACCACTGCCCAGCTTAAATTTAAATTTTTAGGCCGGGTGGTGGTGGCGCACGCCTTTGGAGGATCTCTGTGAGTTCGAGGCCAGCCTGGTCTAGAAGAGCTAGTTCCAGGACAGGAACCAAAAGCTACAGAGAAACCTTGTCTCAAATAAAAACAAAACAAAATAAATTTTTAGAAAATTGTGTAAAGCTGGGTGTGGTAGCAATGGCCTTTAATTCCAGCACTTGGGAGGCTGAGGCAGGTGAATCTTTGTGAGCTTGAGGCCAGCCTGGTCTACAAAGTGAGCTCCAGGACAAACCGGACCTACATGGAGAGAGCCTATTTCAAAAAAAAAAAAAACAAATTTAGCATGATGGCTCACACCTGTAATCCCAGCCCTTTAAAAGTTGAAGCAGGAGGATCACCATGAGTTCGAAGCCAGGTTGGGCTACACTGTAAGACTGACTCACTTTCTCTCTTTCTTTCTCTTTCTTTCTCACACACAATATAATTTTTAAAAATAGACTACTAAAGCTTTCATCTACAAATTATATTAATTTCATTTCATAATTTAGCAACTTTTTTCATTATTTATTTTAGGTTTTGAGTTTATTCTTGTTATATAATCCTAACTTCCTGCCAGTCTTTCTGCCACAGCCTCCTGAGTGCAGTAACTGTAATTTTTTAGGTGCCTTCTGATTCATTGTTTCTAGGATGTACATGAATTAATCTTACTTTTGTACTCTAAGTGCATACGTCTTAGGCTAATGTATTCCCATATTTCAGGGTTAATAAGTTTGGGTTTTGTTACAGGTTACAGATCGGCACGTCTGGAGATCGGCCTTAGAGAATGGACGGTATGAGCTGTTAAGTGAGGAAAGCAAGGAGAATGGAGTGATTAAAACTGTGAATGAAGACGTCGAGGAGATGGAAATTGAGCAAGCAAAGGTCATAGTGAGAGACAGGTACAGAGGCTCCTGCTCACCTCTGCAGTCTGCTATTCACTCACTTGTAATAGTTCTTTGAGATTGGGAAACTTTTCTCTTTTTTTTTGGCTTTTCTAGATAGGGTTTCTCTGTGTAACAGTCCAGGCTGGCCTCAAACTCACTGACATCCACCTGCCTCTGCCTCCCAAGTGCTAGGATTCCAGGAGTGTGCCTTACTAATCCCAGTTCTCCCCCTCTTACATAAGTGTTGATAAACTTGTGGGGTCTGGGGAGGTGGCTCAGGGGATAAGGCACTTGCATACAAGTTAGGACCAGAGTTTTGAACAACCAGACCGTATATAGAGCTAGGCACATGCTCCTCGTACTGTCACCGGCAAAATGGAAGGCGGAGACGGAATTCCTGGGAGTGCACGGCAGCCAGCCTGGCTTCTGCAATGGCAAACAAACCCTGGCTTGAAGGTGGAAGGCAACAACTGACACCTGAGGCCTTAGGTGAGGGGCATGAGTGCACGCGCGCGCGCGCACACACACACACACGCACACACACGCACATGCACACACACACACTTGAGAAGGATGAGTAGGTCCAAGTTTCACCTGATTGTGATTTTCAGTACCATAAACTGTTATTTTCATTGTAGACTCTTGGGGATTAAAACAGAAACTCCAAGTACCAGCAGTACACCGCAGTCAGTGAGCAATGTGGTTCATTATCTGGCTATGGCCCTCTTTCAGATAGAACAGGGCATTGAACGGCGTTTCCTCAAAGCTCCACTTGGTGAGTATCTTCTTATTACTAATTACATAAGCTCTATGGGCTGGCCTGAAATTGATAGACTCATATAATGAGCTTGAAACTGTTTTCGCTGTTTAAAAGATGAGCTTTTCAGGTAAGATGTATTTTAAATAATGCCTAGATACTGCTTTCTGGCTTATTCTAAATAAACATTGTTCTAGTAAATGCTTTTAAGACTATTCCTTTTTGTGTAATGTTTCAAAAAGATTACCAAAATGTATTATCCAGACTTCAAATAATGTAAATTATAAAAACAGGATTTTCTAAGTGACTTAATTTTTTTTTTGTTATTGATTTAAATCTATATCATTTGAAGATTTGGTTTAAAAATAAGTATTACCCAAGAAATGTCCAGTCAGAAATATAAAGTGTTAGGATTATAGATGAGGATTTGTTCTGCCATTTGTAGTGTGTGTGTGTGTGTGTGTGTGTGTGTGTGTGTGTGTGTATTGCTGGGAATTGTACCCAGGACCTCATGCATGCCAGGAAAACACTCATTGACTGAGCTGCAGTTTGTGGCTAGAATGAAAGAAATAATACTGTCTACCAGTTTTGGCTATTCATGCAATTTTTTTTTTTTTTTGAGACAGGGTTTCTCTGTAGCTTTGGAGCTTGTCCTGGAACTAGCTCTTGTAGACCAGGCTGGTCTTGAACTCACAGAGATCCGCCTGCCTCTGCTGGGATTAAAGGTGTGCGCCACCACCACCTGGTGCAATTATGCAATTTAATAGGCTTTTTAGGGCTAACCTAAGAACCTAATTATTATGTCTTCAGAAAATATGAATTTTAAATTCATCTTCGTCAGACTTTAATAAATCGTCATGTTAAAAAGATATGATAGCACACGCCTTTAATCTCAGTGCTAGCGAGGCAGGCAGGTGGGTCTCTGAGTTTAAGGCCAGCCTGGTCTACACATAGTCAGTTCTAGGCCAGTCAGGGCTGCATAGTGAGACTGTCTCTTTAATTTTTTTTTTTCAAGAAGTTTTTATTTCATTGGGATTATAGAGGAGATTTTTAAAAATTCCTTTCTGGTCTCATTGGAAAGAGCAACCTAAATAAACTAAATTTGTTAAATAATTAATATTAATGTGATAAATGTGAGGAATATTAAAAATGAAATGTCAGAGCTAGAGAGATGACTCATTGGTTAAGAGCACCCAGATTTGGTTCCACAGCTGCCTGTGACTCCATATCCAGGGGATCCGGCACCCTCTGCTGGTCCCTGTGGGCACCAGGAGTACATGTGGCACACAGACAGACGGACAGACATCTAAAAATAAATTTCAGTTTCTTTAAATAAGTGATTCCTTCCTAATGCTGCAACCTTTTAATACAGTTCCTCATGTTGTGATGAGGAACCATAAAATTATTTTTGTTGCTACTTCATAACTATGATTTTGTTACTGTTATGAATTGTAAATATCTGTACTTGCAAATAGTCTTAGGCAACCCCTCTGAAAGGTCAATCTACCCCAAAGAGGCTGCAGCCCACAGGTTGAGAACCTCTGCTACAGACAGTACTATCCAATTTCAGAATGTGAATTTGTTCACACAATGTCCTTAGATCGAAGAATTCATAGCTAATACCTCAATGTTATAAAGCTACTGATGGTTGTGTTATAACTTAAGAAATCCTATCACACTGACAGTGTAAAGCCTGTCAGATGTCACAGCATGCTTGGTTTTGCTGGGGTTTGGTTTGAGGACTGAGTGTTGGGCTCCACACATGCTCCCATGAGCTGTATCTTCTCCAGCCCTCTTCTTTCTGTTTTAAGAAAGAGTCTCACTAAGTTGCTCATGACTATCCTGAACTCTGTGTAGCGCGGGAAGGCCTTGAACTCGGTGTCCCTCCTGCCTTAATTACCCTCCTCTACACTGATATTACAGGCCTGTACCATCAGACCAAAAGTTCCTCGTATTCCTTTGAATGGACTGATCAAAAAAGAAAGCTCAGACGCTACCCCAGTGTATCCAGAACACTTGAAAGATGAGGAGATAGACTCTCACTGCTGAACTATACGTTACTGATGGGTTAGGGGAGAACTAAAATAATGGCCTTCAGCTGTGTGCCCACCAGGCACCGGTGGGTTGTTCGAACCCAGTGGTCATACAGATGTCCCAAATTAGATTAAGTGGATCACAAAGCTAAGCCAAAAGGTCATGAGCCTGGGAAAGAAACTGGCGGAGGGGAGAGGTGTTGATGGGGATGGAAGGGAGTTAGTTAGGAGGGGTTTGGAGGACGGTGGGGACACAGCTGGGTATAGACTATTAGCCTGTATGCTAAGGGCTTACTGGCTTTTCTAGTAGGGTCTTAGAAGATAAGAATGCTGAGAGACTGGCAGACAGTGGAGCCTTGGCTGAGGTTTCAGACGGAAGATTCTCTGGACACTGATAGGGGTCGTTTGTGTGGCATATTGGACTAAGTCTGTGTGTGCTGATCAACTGAGCCTGGAAAGTCAACTGATTAATAGGACACCAGCACCACTGAGGTGAAGATGTCTCCATGTCAGCGGGACAGCAGAATCTCAGAACCGGCGCACAGAGGATGTGTCCGGACAGGCTCAAGCTGACAGCAGAACTTGGCAATGTGTAAAGTCTCATGGTATTGGTTTTGAAGGCTTGAAGGAGCCAATGGAGAGTGGCTGAGGCCTAGCATCGTGTGGTAAGGTTGGAGTCCCTGGGGAGCGGCCAGGAGAGATCAGCCTCATTTGCAGTAGAGACCCCATATACTGGAGATGGCAGGGCCATGGCATGTCCATCAAGGACAACAGCAGGCGTGGAAAAGGAGTGGTACAGGAGATTCTCTCCGCCTACCCGGAGATGTCACCCACTGCCTCGGAAGTTGTTAGTATCCCATAAACTAAGAGATTTAAGAGAAGCCTCTAATCTTCTTGATGCTAGCCTTGAAAACCTCCAAGAAAAAAGTTGCTTATACATTCAGAGGGAAAATGAGCTCTAGTTGTTTAGTTTACCTGTAGCAATTTCTTGAGGAGTTTATCAAGACCAGCAAAGTAGAAGATAAGAGAAACAAGACGTATTTTGCCCTTGGTAGCCATGTATCCTAGAGAACCAATGAGATGTACTTGACTTGTTAAAGCTTGTTGAAGCTGGTAAAGGAAGCAATTTGTGTGCAGCTGTGATCCAGCACTTACGTGGAGGCCGCCCTAGGGTATGTGGGAGCCTGAGACTCCCATGGACCACAGGAGGTCCTGTCTCAACAAAGGGCTGGGGCGGGGGTTTGGATCTCTGGCACTCATGTAAAAGCAGGATAGTGGTGGGCCAACAATCTCAGTGCTGAACGGACATAGATGACCTCAATCTTACGATGTAGCCAAAGGTGATCCTGAGCTTCTGACCCTCCACTTTGTTCCCCTAGAACTGGGATTACACTGACAAAACCAGGGGTGGATGGCTCATGCCTCTAAATATGAGGCCAGCCTGAGCTACCTTATCTTTTTTTTAAAAAAAAAAATATTTATTTATTATGTGTACAGCATTCCTTCCATGTGTGCCCGCAAGCCAGAAGGGGGCGTCAGGTCTCATTATAGATGGCTGTGAGCCACCATGTGGTTGCTGGGAATTGAACTCAGGACCTCTGGAAGAGCAGTCAGTGCTCTTAACCACTGAGCCATCTCTCCAGCCCTGAGCTACTTTATCTTAAAACTTTCACAAACCCATGAATCCTTCACACTGCTTTCCAAGACTAAAACCTTCTCATAATTGACCTTTCTTCCACTCTAACATGTTGGCCATTCTTCAACCTTATTTCTTACCATTACCAAATAAGGATTTGTGTCCAAATTTGTCCAGAAAGATTTCTTCATGATCTTTTAGCTATCAGTGCTTGTGGGTCCTTCCTTGGAGGTCCTGTTCATTCATGCCCAGAGCTTTCCATGAAGCCTTTTAACAGAGTCAAGATATAAACACAGAGTGAGCGGGCAGAGATAAAGCCAGTGTGCTAGTTAGTAAATCACACACTCCAAAGGTAGAGATGAGCTGAAATTGGAATTCAGAATTTAACTAGTTTATATAGTGTCAATAAAGATATCTTGGGGTATGAGCTAGTTCGGGATCAGCGTAGTTTTGTAGTGTGGGTGAAATCCTTGGTCTAATCTCCAACAACACTAGATACATGGAAAGATGAAGGTGGGAAAATAGTGTCCACTTACATCCTAAATGTATTTGCCCTTAATGCCCTCTTCGTTTTCTCTAGCTCTGAAGACTCATTTGAAGTTCTCTTTAGTTCTTATTTCTTTGTTGTTTTGGTTATGCTGGGGATCAAACCTCAGATCTATGCATGGTACGCACATGCTCCGTCACTGAACTGCACATCTCCTGTTTCCAAGTGAGCAGAGCAAATGTAGAAAAATAAGAAAGAACTCAAGTGGGGAGGGTTCTGAGAAAGGAATGCCCATTTTAAACTCTTACATAAAACATATTAAACATAGTTTTTCATATTTTATTTGGTTTCATTATTAGTCTCATTCTTATAGTTTTCACAATATTTTATTTCCACAATAAAACCGTGCAAGTTTTTGGTTTGGTGGTGTATGGATGTGTGTTGTTGGGGGTGGAAAACCAGGACTGCAGTGCAAAACAAGCATTCTACTTCGGAGCTGTTCACTCAAACCTTTCGTGGGGTTTGGTTTTCTTTATGTTTAGTTTTGTTTGCTTTAATTAGTATTATTGTTGCAGGGTGCACTAACACCTGTGTGCACCCCAGCATAGTATAGAGGTCAGAGGACACTCTCCATTGGTTCTTCCTTCCATTTGGGGTGCCAGGATCCAACTTAGGTCATCAGGCATCCATGGCAAGCACATTTACCTGCTGAGCCCTCTTGCTGGCTTGGATTTTTGAAGGCATAAGTCACAAACAATGCCACGTCAGTTTGGAATTATGATTAATAGGGTGGTATTTATTTAAAGAGGAAAAAACTTACAGATCACCCTCCCAGACAACAGCCCTCTGCACAACCAGGAAGGGTGTCTAGTCACCAGCGGAGCAGGAAGTGAAGAGAGAGCTAGCAGAGGGAAGTAGCAGCTTTTTTAAAGGGAGAGAGACCACGCCCCAATGGGCTGGTATCTCAGCAGCTATTGGTTGGAGGAGCGGAAGGACCTCCCGCCACAGATTTTTATTTGTTTATTTTTTGTTTTGTTTCTTTGGTTGATTTAGTTTGGGGGCATTTTTGTTTTGTTTTTGAGATAGTACCCCAGAAAGGCCTTGAACTTAAAATGTCCTCAGGCTGTCCTGTGGTTGAACCCTTGCCTCAGTCTCTTGAGTGCAGGACTAATATCAGTGTTGGTGTGGTGAACTCTCAGCAGTCTGCACAGTGGTCTTTAGTATATTAGAACACACTGAGCCAATACCCTCAATTTCATAACATAGACCATCAGCTCAAAAGAAACCTCATGTGTTCATACTGAAATGAGAACACATGAGGTTCAATCATTCTTCTGGCAATGAGAAAGTACATACTTGATCCAAAGGAAGGGTAACTTAATCAGTTTTAAATTAGATCAAGATTCAATACAAAGACTAGATTGGGAACACATTGCCTAAATTCTTTTCTCTTTTAACTATTATAATCTTCAAGCCTTCAGTTTGGATTTAAGTAATTCCTTATGTCATTAAAAATGTGACTCCACAGATGGAACATTAGGTGTGGGGAGTTTGAGGGTGAGGCAGTCTTGTTCCATTGCAACCCAGACTGACCTGGAACTCATTGCATAGTCCAGACTGTAATCACACAGAATTTTAGTTTTCAATATTAAGCATAATCTTTTTGACAAACATAAGAAACATGAAATTAAAAAGAGGAATTCCAGGAGACACTTGTGTTTGCCCAGGAACCTCACTCACTTTTCCTCTCTTTTAAGATGGCAGTGACAGCGGACGTTCTTATAAAACTGTCCTGGACCGTTGGAGAGAGTCCCTCCTTTCCTCTGCAAGTCTATCCCAAGTCTTTCTTCATTTATCAACCTTGGATCGCAGTGTGATGTGGTCTAAATCTATACTGAACGCGCGTTGCAAGATCTGCCGGAAGAAGGGTGATGCTGAGAACATGGTCCTCTGTGATGGCTGTGACCGCGGCCATCACACCTACTGCGTCCGGCCGAAACTTAAGGTATTTACCTTCCTCTGTTGCCCACATCGGAACTCAGGTCTCGACCAGTAGATGATGGTCATCTCTGTGATTTGTTCAGGCCATTCCTGAAGGAGATTGGTTTTGTCCAGAATGCCGACCAAAGCAGCGCTCCAGGAGACTTTCCTCCAGGCAGAGACCGTCTCTGGAAAGCGATGAAGAGATGGAAGAGAGCATGGAAGGTGACGACGAAGTTGATGATGAAGAAGGCGAGAGTGAGGAGGAAGAGTATGAGGTAGAACAAGATGAAGAGGACTCCGAAGATGAGGAAGAACTCAGGTGAGTCCGGTTTGCCACGTGAGGGTGGTCTAGCCTGTGACTCTCAAACCCACACACAATACTTGGGGACATAACTGTTCGAAAAATAACATATCTGAAACTGCTTGTGCTTTTCATGTATTATACATAACTGGGAGTATTTCCAAGGTGGGTATTTCTGATCTAAGCAGACCACGTTGTATTCTTGTGCTCTTGCCCCATTATCGTTAACAACTCCTTGGAGACAGACTATCACTCGGGCCGCTGCACGGCTTTTGCAGTGGACTTTTCCTGCTGCGGTAGCACCTGGGGTGGTCTCCCTTTCTCTTTTCCCCTCAAGCAGTCTCACATTGTTGCTCAGGTAGACTCGAACTTGAAGTAATCCTGCCTTGGCCTCCTGAGTGTCCAGATTACAGACATGCACAATCATACCTGCTGCATAGATATTTCTAGTAGGCAGATGTTTCCATCCACTGGTTCTCCATCAGTAGTCCTAGATAGAGTCACAACAAGAGAAAGTCATATTGTATTCTTTGTTCTTGTTCTTAGCTCACCCTCCCCATTCTAAACATTTGTACCAATCTCATGGAATCAAGAGGCTGAGTATAGCAAGGTGCCCGAGAGCTGTCCAGTTCAGAAAGGCCATTCATTGTCAGAGGAGAATAATTAATAGAATCCCCCCTTTTATTGTTATTAAGGTTTTTTCTCTTTCATTATTTGAGAATTTCATACATATGTGTTCATCAAATCAACTACAATTTTATTTTTTGTTTTTCAAGATAGGATTTTTCTGTAGATCAGGCTGGCCTCTGCCCCCTGAGTGCTGGGATTAAAAGATGTGTGCAACCATTGCCTAGCTTGTTTTTGTTTTTTTTTTAAGAGTGTCGGCTAGTAGAGACCATCTACCATATAAAGCTTTTGAAGACAATATCATATTAAACTTAGCAATAAAGAATCTGGGGAGCCTGGAAAGATGGCTGTTGTTTGATTTTCTTTTACTCTAGCCCCACATTGGAAATGTTGTTTCCAAAATGTTTTTTTTTTTTTTTTTCCTTCGAGACAGGGTTTCTCTGTGGCTTTGGAGCCTGTCCTGGAACTAGCTCTGTAGACCAGGCTGGTCTCGAACTCACAGAGATCCTCCTGTCTCTGCCTCCCGAGTGCCGGGATTAAAGGCATGCCCAAAATGTTGTTTGTTTGTTTTTACTCTTAACTCTTTGCTCTTTTGGGGCCTCACAACCCAGCTCCCAAACAAATCACACACATGGAGACTTATTCCTTCTTATAAATTGCCTGGCCTCAGCTTGGCTTGTTTCTAGCCAGGCTTTCTTATCTTAAATTAGCCCATCTACCTTTTGCCTCTGAGCGTTTTTTCTTTTCTTCTATATATCTTGCTTTCTCTCTTCCTCCGTGGCTGGCTGGGTGGCTGGCACCTGACATCCTCTTCGCCTTATTCTCTTGCTCCTTTTTCTGTTCCCAGGTTTCTCCTCCTATTTATTCTGTCTGCCAGCCCCGCCTATCCTTGCTCCTGCCTCGCTATTGGCTGTTCATCTCTTTATTAGACCATCAGGTGTTTCAGGCAGGCAAAGAATCGCAGCTTCACAGAGTTAAACAAGTGCAGCATAAACAAAAGCAACACATCTTTATATCATTAAACAAATGGTCCACAGCGTAAACAAATGTAACACATCTTAAAATAATTTCCATAACAGATGGCTTCATGAGTAAACTGGTGACTATGCGAGCATAAGGACCCAAGTTTGGATCCCAACACCCACACAGCAGGGTGCCCTGGGATTGGAGTGTGGAGAAGGAAGGTCCCAGAGGCTTGCTGGCTAGCTAGTCTAGTCTCATTAGCTGGTCCCAGCTTTAGTGAGAGACCCTGTCTCAAAACATGAAACACCCAGTGTTGATCTCTGGCCTCCATGTCCATGCAGGTCTGTGCAGCTGAACTGCATATACACACATGAACTACATACGCTCAGAAAATCAGCTGGTCAGGGGCTGGAGAGATGGCTCAGTGGTTAAGAGCATCACCTGCTCTTCCAAAGGTCCTGAGTTCAATTCCCAGCAACCACATGGTGGCTCACAACCATCTGTAGAGAGGTCTGGCGCCCTCTTCTGGCCTTCAGGCATATACACAGACAGAATATTGTATACATAATAAATAAATAAATATTTTAAGAAAAAGAAAATCAGCTGATCAGTCATTTCGGAAATTCTTACCAATGTTGCAGGTTAAATAGAAGTATGTAAAGAGACCCGTTCAGTCTAGTTTTGTATTTGCAGTCAAAATCAGAAAGTAATAAAGAGGTTCTTGGCTTGGTCTTCATGAACCACAGGTTTGAGGCCTACTTCGGTGTCAGCCACTGGCAGAGCCATCAGCTGCTTCTGTGTTGATGGTGATGACATGGAGGGAAAAAACAATGCAAGTCTTCCATGTTCAAGAGCATCGGCCTGATCTGTTTGCCAGTATCCTAAGGATGTTATTAGTTTATCACAATTCAGGACTTGATTTTCATGATGCTGTCCTAGTTAGTCACCTGAAAAGTAAGTGTCCTCCACTGTTTGAGAGAAGTACATGGAAGCACAGTTCAGATTTCCATGAGAACTTGTTTCTAAACGGAAGAACTGACTCTAGGATAAGGTTCAGTTATATGCCAGAGTAATCTATCTATAGCCCTGAGTACAAGGGACCATACACATGCCCATCATAGTCTGTCCAATAATCGTGTTTTCCAACAATCTTTGTAGCCCACCCAAACGAGGAAGACCACAAGTCAGACTGCCAATTAAAACAAGAGGGAGACTTAGCTCTTCTTTCTCAAGTCGCAGCCAGCGACAAGACCCCGGGCGGTACCCCTCAAGGAGTCAGCAGAGCACACCCAAAACCACTGCTTCTAAGACTGCTGGCAGGAACCTAAGGAAGATCAGATCTGCTCCTCCTACAGAAACTCGTTCATTAAGAAATGCTAGTCGTTCGACTCGCCAGAGTCCTGGTGCACTGCAAGCGGATATGCTTGTGGAACTGCTGAGTCCTCGTGGAAAACGCAGAGTACGGAAGAGTGCCGATAGCACCCCAGAACACAGCCCCAGCATCGCCAACTTCAGGGTCGGCACCTCGAGATCAAGCGTACACTTGATACCTTTAAATACCGACGCAGGGCTTTCTCTCCAAGACAGCGACTCTAAGAGAAGAGGCAGGAAGAGACAGTCTACAGGTATGAAGTTCAGCTTACACTCATGATAGCTGAGTCGTGGTCAGGTTTTAAAAGCTGTTCCTATGATATACAAAGCATCCTGATCTAAAGTGGATGTCATTGAAGAGGCCGCTATTGCTGAGTAAAGGCGAAGCACACTAGAGGTCTCTGCTGGCATGGGGCATTGTATGTACTCAGTTTGAAAAGTGTGTGTGTGTGTGTGTGTGTGTGTGTGTGTGTGTAGGTCAGAGGAGGCATAAACCACTATACCTGGCTTTTTACATGAGTGCTTGGGATCAAACTGAGATCCTTATGTTTGCAAGGCAGACACTTTACTGGAGAGCTCTCTTTAGCCTTTAGTATTTCATAAAAACAGAAATATATACAGGTGCCTGCTGAGGTCAGAGAGTCTTGGATCCCCTGGAACTGAAATTACAGGCAGTTGTGAGTCATCTGATAACGGGTGTTGAGAACCAGACCTAGGTCCTCTGGAGTGTAGTTAGCGCTCTTAGCCAGCAGGCCATCTCTCTGGTCCTAGGAGTCCTTGGAAAGGGGAGTTGTTTGTTTTTCTTTTTTGAGGCAGAGTTTCTTTGTGTAGCCCTGGCTGTTCTGGAATTAGTTCCATAGTCCAAGTTGGCCTTGAACTCACAGAGATCCACCTGCATTTGCCTCCCAAGTGCTGGGTTTAAAGGTGTGCAACTACCACCACCTCACCCTAGTATTCCATTTTTAATGGAGGAAATTAGTCTTTGAACACACAGTATAACAAAACACTTTTCAGAGCTAGGGTCATACCCTAGTGATGAAATACTTGCCTCATGCATTTCATTTTCTTTTTCCTTCCTCAGAACACAGGAATCACCACTAAACAAGAACATTACATTATCATTATTTGATGAGATTACCCTCTGTAGCTGGGTATTGTACCACACACCTTTAAGCAGGTGGCTCTCTGAATTTGAGGTCAGCTTGGTCTACATAGTGAGCTCCAGGACATTCAAGGCTACCTAGAGAGACCCTGTTTCACAAAACAACAAAGATTACCCTTTGAAATACTAGACTGTAATGGTGCAGTAGTATTTTCATGAACTGGTCACTTAGATTTTTATTACAAATTTTGTTTATAGTAATCTTTACATCATCATCTTTTAGCGTAGTGTTGGCTGGTTGGTACTAGCCAGGTTCCATCTCCAGTTCCTGTTTGGTTCATTGACTTGTGGGTTGGTTGGTTAATTGAGATAATGTTACACTGTGCAGGACTGCAAACTCAGTGCTTCCTGAGCCTCCCAGGCTGAGAGTACAGCCAAGATGGAGGAGCCATAAGATACGATTACCAATAGAAACCTCAGACCTAGCCGGGCAGTGGTGGCTCACACCTTTAATCCCAGCACTTGGGAGGCAGGGGCAGGCGGATCTCTGTGAGTTCAAGGCCAGCCTGGTCTACAGAGCGAGTGCCAGGACAGGCTCCAAAGCTACAGAGAAACCCTGCCTGTGGGGGAGGAGGGGCTCAGACCTCCAGGCAGCTAGACAAATGCACCTGCACCTGTGCACATACATGCAGGCATGTGTACATACATTTACAACATATACACGTGAAAAGCAAAAATCTCAGTGTAAAGTGTCTATTTTCTATTGAAATTTGACTTTTATGTCTGTTAGCAGCTTAACTTACAATCGCTATTTTGGTTTGATGCTGTCTAAATATATTGTCTTCCTTACCCAGAGTCGTCTCCTATGCCACTGAACCGAAGAAGTTCTGGCCGACAAGGAGGCGTTCATGAATTGTCCGCCTTTGAACAGCTTGTTGTGGAATTGGTGCGGCATGATGATAGCTGGCCCTTTCTGAAACTTGTTTCTAAAATCCAGGTAACACTACAATTAGACCTTATGAAATATATTCATATATTACATGATTTACATTTATGTCATATCTTTATGGAAAATTTGAAATTATCAAGACACCTGATCCGTCCCAAAATCCCACAGCTGGAACGTTGCTTTCAATGCTGAACAGAACTGAAGCTTCAGAGCATTGCCTTTAGCCCTCCTGATCGCGTCACTGTTTGGGGTTTTTTAGACAAGGTCTCATAAGGCCAGGCTGGTCTCAGATGCTTAAGATTTATGCACTTTTAGTTTTGATTAGTGTTTGTGTGCATGCGTACCATGTGTGAGCAATGCCTGAAAAGGCCAGAAGAGGGTATCAGACCCCCTGGAACTTGATTGTGAACCATCATGTGGGTGCTGAGAACTTGAACCCAGATCCTTTGCAAGAGCAGTAAATACTCTTAACCACTGAGCCATTAGCTCATTCTTTTAATGATGACACTGTCCTAAAATAATTTTTTGCTTTATATAACTATTCATTGAATGAATCCAATTAAATATCATTAGTGGTATTTCTCTTACATGTTAAACATTAGTAATCAGACTACAACATGCTTCAGAATTTTTTTAGAGGGCATATTAAAGCATACCTGAGAGCCAGATGTGTGCGCCTTTGATCCCAACACTGGAGAGGCAGAGGCAGGCAGATCTCTTGATTACAGTAGCAGAGCCGGAGGGATGGCTCAGCAGGTGAGAGCTCTTCCAGAGGACCCAGGTTTGGTTCCCAGCACCCGTATAACAGCTAACAACCATCTGTAACTTCAGTTGCCAGGATCCAACTCCCTCCTTCTGGCCTCCACAGGCACCAGGAATGCACATGGTATACACACATACACACTCAAGGAAACACACACACATACTATAAAAATCATATCCCGGTGGTGGGGATGCATAGGCAGGTGGATCTCTGAGTTCAAAGACAGCCTAGTCTGTGAGCAAGGTCCAGGACAGCCAGAGCTCCACAGAGAAATCCTGTCATGGGTGGCAAGGGAGGGGGTGTCCAAATAAAGAAATAAACCTTCTTTTCAAAGGCAGAGCTAGAGAGATGGCTAGGCATTTAAGAGTCTTGCTGCTCTTCAGAGAGTGAAAGAACAGCTCCCAGTGCCTTGAGTACAGCTCCAGGGAATCAGTGCCTTCTGACCTCTCGTGCATAAGCATACTCAGGCACACAGGTAGACATAACGAAGAGAAATTCTAACAGTTTAATAGCATTTTAGAAGCAGTAAAAGAAGGATATTGGTTGGGCATTTTCAGGGGCAAGAGTAGCTGGAATAAAATATTATATGGGACTGTTATATATTAGGACTTGCCACTGAAAATGACATGATTTCAGTGCAGAGACATGCTCAGTACAAGATTGTACACAGTGAAATTGAATAAGACCCAGAGTGATGCATGCTTGGGATGCCAAGGTGGGACAGTGGGGAGTTGTGGGAAACTCAGAAAGAGAAATGCTCACATTTCCCTCCCGATAAAGGGTTTGTAGATAAGGGCCGAGAGACCACGGTGTGGGGAATGGACAGTGTCGTTGAAGTAGAGGTTGGGGCACCGTCATATAGTCAAGACTTCTTGTCGCTGTGGAGCAGAGGTTTCTGAATGAAGAAATGATCGAGGGCTGGAGAGGTAGTTCAGAGGTTAAGAGCACCCGCTGTGCAAACGTGAGGGCCAGAGTTCAGATCTCAGTGCCAAGTTGGGCCTTGCACACATGCCTTTATCTCCAGCTCCAAGAAGAGCAGAGACAGATGAGCCAGGTGCTGGTGGTGCATGCCATTAATCCCAGCACTCAGAGGCATTGGACCTGGACTACAGAGTTCCAGATAGCCGAGGCTGTTACATAGAGAAGCCCTGCCTCGCAGGAGAAAAAGAAAGAAAAGAAAATATTATGGGGGTGGGGCTGGAGAGATGGCTCAGTGGTTAAGAGCATTGCCTGCTCTTCCAAAGGTCCTGAGTTCAATTCCCGGCAACCACATGGTGGCTCACAACCATCTGGAATGAGGTCTGGTGCCCTCTTCTGGCCTGCAGACATACACATAGACAGAATATTGTACACATAATAAATAAATATTAAAAAAATGTTGTTTTAAAAAAATATTATGGGCATTTATTATCAGTTTATAGGGAAAACCATGAGTAAAACTTGTTTCTTTTCATAATAAAGAACATTTATGATGGTATTAAACAAGCTTTTATATCGTTATAATTACTCAAAGTCATATCTTCAATGGAATAATAGTATTCATAAATTGAATTGATTGCTTTTCAGGTATCAAATTCATTTAACCATTATGTCCAGTAATCTTTTTATACTGTGAAATACTGAATTGTTTTTCAGGTCCCAGACTACTATGACATCATTAAGAAGCCCATTGCCTTAAATATAATTCGAGAAAAAGTAAATAAATGTGAATATAAATTAGCATGTGAGTAGCTTATATTTTGCTTTTATTGTTTTTAAGAGATGATGCCGTTTCTTTTGTTTTCGGTGTCCATTAGTATGGCTGGGTGGCTGGCGGCCCACGCAGCCCCTCGCATGCTTGTTCGTACACACTGAAATGAGAGGTGGTTGGGCTACGTGGGTAGACATTCATAGAGTCTTATCTTAATGGGAGGACCGGCGTTAGCCAAGAGCTCTGTAAATACATAATGCATATATAAGCTGGAGTTCCCCCAAGACAACTTTAAAATATTTATAACTGAACAGTTTTGAGCCCAAGTTCTGCTACCTTTTCTAAGGCTCTTTTCCAGCTTCCGTTGTCTAGCATACAGGGTTTGTTTCTGATGTGTGTGGTTTCATTCTAATCTTGCTTGTTTCTCTCTCTCTCCAGCTGAGTTTATTGATGATATCGAGTTAATGTTTTCGAACTGCTTTGAGTACAACCCTCGGAACACGAGTGAAGCAAAAGCTGGAACTCGGCTTCAAGCATTTTTTCATATTCAAGCTCAAAAGCTTGGACTCCATGTCTCGCCCAGTAATGTGGACCAGGGTAGCACGCCACTCGCTGCAAAAAAGTCACGGGTCTAGTTTTGTCCTTCTAAAGGCTGTATGTGAAGAAAAACAGGAATCGGTCATAAAAATGGAACATTAAATCATGCTCTAAAGCAGATATGTGTTTAAAGCAATAACAGCTGGTCAACCACAGCCAGGCGTGGCCTGCACTGTCTTCTCAGTTTTCATACTAAGCACTCAGGAGAATGTAGGAAAGAGTTCCTTTGCTACAGTTTTTGTTCAGTATCTACTAAGTTTAATAGATGTTTTGGATACAGTACTGGTTTACAGAGGTTTTGTACATTTTGAGATCATTCATGTGTTCAGGTAATTTGGAAAATATTTTTTCATCTATGATTTATTTTGTCATTGACCTTTTAGGAGTTAGGATTTTAAAGAGGATTTATCTGCACAGATGAGTCTTCCAAGAGCACAGTGTAGAGAAAGTATATGTCTTAAGACTTGTTTAATGAGCGCATTGTTTCAACACTACACATGAATGGATCCAATTTTCTATCCCTGACTTGCTGTAGCCAGTGCTGACTGAATTTATTAACTAGATATTTATTTAGCATTCAAAGTCATTTGTGAATTTGTTTTGTATTTATAAAATTTATACTTGGAAAATGTTCTTCAATTTTTTTAAAACATTTTACTATGTTTTTGTTTTATCTCTCAAACATTTTTAATGATTTAAAAATAAAAATGTTCCCCTCTCTCCTCCCTAGCAGTTCCCCAGTTTTACAGATAAGTTTCTGTGTACAACTTTTCTAAGTGTACAAATAAAATGATACATTTTTTCACATTTTCTGAATTCTGAAGTTTTTTCAAGTTGAAATCAGACTTTTATACATTAATAAATACAGATCATAGAAACCATGCAAACAGTGTTTTTGTTGTCTGGGTGAGAGATGTCTCCAGCTGGTAGCAGTAATATTCTTGTGATACTCTCATTAAGAGGAAGGAAGCCTGTTGAATCCTGAGATTGCAGGCATATAGCACTGTGCCTGGCTGCAACTAAATTCTTGGTTTCTGTGGTCTGGGTGGCACAGGCAGTAATTGTAGTCCTTGCTATGCTGAAGCAAGAGAGGATCATAGTTCAGGGCCAACCTGGCCCACACAGTGAGAAGGACCTGTCTGTGGTCATTTGAATGCAAATATTCCCATAGTCTCTCTGTTTGAATACTAGGTCCCCAGTTGGTGGCGCTGTGTGGGAAGGCTTAAGAAAAGTGGCCTTAGCCAGGTGTGTGGTGGTGGTGGTGGAAGCCTTTAGTCCCAGATTTAGGAGGCAAAGGCAGGTGAATTTCTGAGTTCAAGGCCAGCCTGATCTATAGAGTGAGTTCAGGACAGCCTGGGCTACACAGAGAAGCCCTGTCTCAAAGGAAAGGAAAGGAGAGGGTAGGGGAGAGGAGAGGAGAGGAGAGGAAAGGAGAGGAAAAGAATGTGACCTTGATGGAGGAAGTATCACTAGGGGGTGGGGCTTTGAGATCTTAGCGCTTTGCCTCACTCTGTTCTCTGCTTCACATGCCTGCTGTGAGTGCTCACCTTCCAGTGCCTGTTGCCAAAATTCACAGCCGCTGTGGGTTCCTGTGGAGCCATAAGTCTAAACAAACTCCCACATAAGTTGCTTTGGCTGTGGTGTTTAATCACAGCAATAGAAAAGAATCACTAGTAAACTTGTCTTTTTAATTGCTTGATTGCAATTGCAAAGAGTGCTGGATGAGAAAGAAGCCCGCACATCCCGCTGTGTGCCTGGCCCCTTAATGTCAAAACGTACAGTGTTTGCATCTAACAGCTGCAATGTGCCTCAAATAAACCAATTCTGGAAGACCTTTTTTTTTTCAGATGAGGTTAAAATTAAAACTCAGGTCAACTTTTTTTTTTTTAAGTCAAGAAGATGTGACTATACAGGGTTTATTATTTTATGTACCAGAGAGGGCATCAGGTCCCTTAGAACTTGAGTTACAGACAGTCTGAGCCACTATGTGGATGCTGGAATTGAACCTGGCTCCTCTGGAAAAGCAGAGAGTGCTCTATACCTCTGAGCCACCTCTTCAGCCCCGCAGTTTTGTTTTTGTGGACAGCATAAAAGGTCAAGATTGTGTGTGTGTGTGTGTGTGTCCACTCTCATCAAATGAGCTACCACACTTTCTAGACAGTTACAAAACATATAGTCATGCTCTGATTTTTCATTTTATGCCCCCCTTCTTCAAGCTCTGAAGACTAAGCTTGGGCCTTCCACATGCTAGGCACACAGCACTGAGTTCCAGCCTAGACCGGATACCTTGTGAACAGGCCGTTTGTAGGGGTGTAGCTGTGTTCTCACATTACTACCATAATGTCTGACTGACTCTCTTCTACCCTATGGGTGGTAGGTGTCAAGCTCAGATCGCCAAGCTCAGAGGAAGGTGCCTTTACACACTGAGCCATCTTGCTGGCCCTTCTGAATAGTATCTGTGTGCACGCACACATGTCCTTAGGCATGTATAGGTCAGAGGTTGACACTAGGGGCTTCTTCACCTTATTTTCCTTCGGATAAGTTCTCGCACTGACCCTGAGGAACACCCATTTGGCTAGCCTGAGTGGCCAGAGAGCTCCAGGAGCTGCCCGGCCCTGCTTCCCTACACTGAGATTACAGGTAAACATGGGAGTCTAAACCCAGGTCCAGGTCTTTTAATAAACCCCAAATACTTCCTTTAATATTTCATGAAAGAGAATGGACTCCGTTGTTCAATTTGGGTTAGAAAGAACAATTCCTTGGGGTTAGAGAGACAGCTCAGTGCTTAAGAGCACTTGCTAGAAAAACACTTAATATACATTCAATCTAAAAAAAAAAAAAAAAAAAGTCTCATGGTGTAGGCCTGGCTGGCCTGGGACTCAACAGATGCAACTGAGCTGGGCAGTGGTGGCACACGCCTTTAATCCCAACACTCAGGAGGCAGAAGCAAGTGGATCTCTGAGTTCAAAGCCAGCCTGGTCTACAGAGTACCTTCCAGGACAGCCAGACAGCCAGAGCTACAACACAGAAACTGCCTGGGGAAAAGAGAGAGAGAGACCTGAGAGTAAGGGCATGTACCACCACACCTGCCTTTAAATCTTTAAGTGGAGGAAGAGGAGGGAAAGAAGAAAGTATGATTTCACACAGCTGGTGCAATCTCCTCACCTTGAGAAGGGCTTCCCTAGCACAAAGACGTTCAAAGGATTTGGCCAGTCATGCAATTTTTAAATCATCAAAAACTTGTTCTCGAGTGAGGCAGTGTCTCACTCTGGAGGCACAAGGCCAGCCTGGTGTGTATGTGTGTGTGTGTGTGTGTGTGTGTGTGTGTGTGTGTGTGTGTGTATAGTGAGTTCCAGGACAGCCAAGTAGGGGTTCCAGGTCAGCAGGCACTAAATAATGATACCCTAACTATGTTAGCTGAGGTTGTAGAATGAGTACCTAAGGGCCTAGGCTCAGTCCACCAACGCGATAGAAGTCCATGTCTTGTCAGCCAGGGCGTCTCATACCTCTAACTCCACGACGCAAGAGGCTGAGGCAGGAAGACTGCTGAGAGTTTGAGCCAACCTGGGCTGAGTCACAGACTGACCTGGGCTACACTGTGAGATCCTTTCTTTAACTTAATTAATTAAATTTAATGGGTGTTTGTCGTCTTAAGAACCTACTGAGTGCCGGGCACTTCATGACTTCTCAAGCCCTAGAACTTGACTGGACAGAGCCATCCTCTCTCTGTGTTGGTTTTCCCAAGTGACTTGCCTTTCCTCTCATTTGATTTCAAGTGTAAAACAGATCAAGTTCCTGTGATGACCAACAGATGTCGCTGTGTGTGCTTCCCTTAAAATTTAAAACCAGGGCGGGAGAGCCAGCTCTGGGTTAAAGGCAGGTAAAGCCTTCCTGAGGACCAGAGCTCAGTTTACGCCACCCGCCTAGAACGGCTCACAACACGCGGTCATTTCAGCTCCACAGAATCCAACTCCCTCTCCTTACCTTTGTGACTCCCCGTATGCATACACATACACATAAGTAAAAATAAAACACATCTTTAGAAAAGATTTACATACTCGAAGCACAGGGAACATATTCATAAGGGGCCCAAAGCAGCTTGACATTGATACACGGCCCAGGCTGCCTGAAACAGGGGATCCTCCTGCCTTCTGATCATTGCTGGGTTACAGGCACGCACCACCACACCCAGCACTCAGTACACTTTTTTAAAATTTGCATTAAAAGGAAGTTAACCTTCAATGCCACGCCCACTCCCATAATCCCAGCACTCAAGAGGCAGGGGCAGGAGGATCACCTTAAGCATGAGTCCAGTCTGGTCTACAAAGTGAGTTCCGGGCCAGTATGTGCCTGGGAGGTGGAGATAGGAGGATCATAAAGCCAGCCTGTGCCGTGATACTCTTCCAGAAAACAACAGCAGTCGGTGCTGGTGACGCAGGCCTTTAATCTAGCACTCAGGAAGCAAAAGCAGACGGCCTCCTCCCTGGGGACCCTGGGGCTCCCATACTATCAGAAGGGGCAGCCAAAGGAAGAAAGCAAGCAGCAGTCCTAGCCAGATGTGCTGCAGCCACAATCCAGATGTGATGCTACCAACAGCAATGACCAAAATGACAAGCTATCCCAAAGGGTATGGTAGTGACACATCCTGGGAAATTTAGGACTCAGTCTATAGAGTGTGCATGACTGGGTGAGGCTCTGGACCCAGGAGAGCCATCTACTGCCACTTTTCCTACACCAGTAGGATCCCCGACTGCACTTTAAATGCTTATCCATATACCCACGGGCAAGGTAGCTCTCACCTCTCATTAAAGAAGCTTGTTTACATCACACTACACAAAGCCACAACCCTCACAGTCCAGAGGACAACTGCCTGAGGGGTGCTAATTGATACAGTAAACATAAAACCCCGAGGCTTGGGAGTTCAAGACCAGCCTGGTCTACAGACCAAGTTCCAGGACAGGCTCCAAAGTTACAGAGAAACCCTGTCTCGAGAAAAAAAAAAAAAACAAAAAAAAAAAACAAGAAACCCTATACTTAAGACTCAGGAAGTGTCGAATGGAGAACAGGGGAGATTGCAAAAAAGCAGGCAACCAGGATGGGACGTCTGCTGTAAAACAGTGTCATCTGTATTTGACATGGAAACTGCACCCAAGAAATCCCAATAGAGTTGTTAAGCAAGACCCAAAAGATGACAATGCCAGTTGGCATAGCAACATAGATGGAGGGGGATTCCCAGTCTCCAGCCCGAGGAAAACTACAGGTTGCTGAGAGGGAGAGTAGCCAACTCCATGAAGTCAGCTGAAACACATATGAGCCTCATGAATGATAGATAGATAGATAGATAGATAGATAGATAGATAGATAGATAGATAATAGATAGATAGATAGATAGATAGATAGACAGACAGATAGATATACACGTGGATATATATGCAATAATTATACTTAAAAAGAAGTCATGGATTTTAGGAGTTGAGGAAACACAGAAAAGACTGGAAGGAAGAGAGGAAGGAGAAATGAGGTAAATACAATTCTCATATATGAAATTCTAACAAAAAAGAACAAAAGTGAACAAAAAAATAAAACAATTAGAGCCGGGCGGTGGTGGCGCACGCCTTTAATCCCAGCAGAGGCAGGCGGATCTCTGTGAGTTCGAGGCCAGTCTGGTCTACAAGAGCTAGTTCCAGGACAGGAACCAAAGCTAGAGAGAAACCCTATCTTGAAAAAACAGCAAACAAACCAAAAAAAAAACAATTAAATACTATATCACAACCACCAGAATGACTAAAAAAGACACACAGACCATC